ATAATAGATAAATAAAAATTTTAAAAAAGAATTTGTGGATAGAGAAACTACCAACTTTGCATGGAGAAAAGTAACTTGGAGGCTGACTTCATAGCATATTAGATTCAATAGTAAACAACGTATTTACTAATCAACCATGGACCATGGTTGTGAAATCAAGTTATTTAAGAAAAAAAATCATGACACACTTCATGGCAAGTGTCCTTCTCTGTTATTAATTAAATGATGATATAAGCCATTCATGCCACGTCTCACTACTACTTTCTAAATCTGTGCAAACAGGAACAGGCTTTAACTGAAGAGAAAGAGGAATGAAGCAACTCCTGCCTCTATTTCTGCTTTTTATAACATTTTCTTCTGCATTCCCTGCAGACCAAAAGGTGGAAAATGAGGAAAACATGCAACTGGCTCAGGTACTGTCTCAATACATGTTATTAACAGTTAGCAATAACAAGTTCATTTTATTGCTTCTCTTGGAGCCTAAAAAGCAAATTCCTAAAGAGAATACTGAACTTTCATGTAAGAAGTTGTTTTTCATTTTTCTAGCTAGAAGAACCCCAAGGGCCTGGGTGAGAGGTGAAGGGTGGGTCAGGGTACGGCAGCAGAACTTGCTACAACTCTGAACGAAGGTCACAAGTCAAGAACCAGTGAGACGAGATGAGCAGCCCTGCAAGGGGTAGAGAATTGTATGGACACTTTTCTAAATTGCCAAGTGGACCCATTGTACCATCTGGAGCCCCTTATTCATACATTGTTTAGGACAGTCCCCCTAAAAGTCAGTCCAGTTAATTTGCTATATTTAGTTATCAAATAAATTTGCAAAATGTATAATCAGCTATAGATTCTAGAATTTCCTTTAAGGAAATGCCAAAAGACAGTAACAGCAAAATTATATATGATGTGCCATCATTTAACAGGCAGAAGAAGTTTCATTACACAACATGTGGGTTTGTTTAACTGTAATTACTCATAAATCAACCAGTTCCTGGAATTGAAAGAACAGGGTATCTCCTTTCTTTCCTCTTTGTGTTCTTCCTCTCTTCTTTCCTTCATTACTTATTTCCTTTTTCTCCCTTCCCACTGTCAAAAAGGATTTCAGGCCATTTTGTTTCACCCTGAGGTGGAGACTTGCTTTCCTGTAGTCTGTGCCTTTTTTTATCTTTCTGGTCAGGCATATCTCAACCAGTTCTACTCTACTGAGATAGAAGGGAGTCATCTCATTCAAAGCAAGAACAGGAGTCTCATAGATGGCAAAATCCAGGAAATGCAAGCATTTTTTGGATTGACAGTGACTGGAAAACTGGACTCCAACACTCTTGAGATCATGAAGACACCCAGGTGCGGGGTGCCCGATGTGGGGCAGTACGGCTACACTCTCCCTGGGTGGAGAAAACGCAAGCTCACATACAGGTAATGCCTCTGTCAACTAGTGCAAAGCAAGGTGATTATAATCTCCAAGAAACAAAGATTATTTATTTTACTGACACTTTCCATGTGCATGTCACTTCATAGACGTCATGCGTTCTATCCTCCCAATGCACCTGTGATACAGGCATGACAGTACTGCACCTGAAACCCAAAGAAACTGACACCAAGGGTTATTTACCATAGCCAAGGTGACCCAGGAGACTGGATCCCACAGATGCACTGTAATCACCAGCCTTACCACCTCCGTGTGAGCTCAGGACCAGAAGCCCTGTCTCTGACTGCAGGTGTTCAGAGGCATGGATGCAGGCTGTGTGCAGAAGATGGGAAGGCACAGATGTGTGTGTCTTACATGGTCTTGTCTCAGAGGGGTCCCAGTGTCAACTACGGGGTTTGCTTTCAGGCATCTCAAGGAAGAGTTAGAAAAGGGCTCATTTCCAGATAGAAGCTGATGTATGGCTCCAATCTGAGAAAAAGGAAGTGACTTTGACCACCACTCTGGAACAATTTTCCTTCATTTTACTAAATTTTAGGACTTGAAATAAAAATGGGCTTACCAAGACAGGAAATATAAACAAGAGAGAAATCTTTCTTGGAGTAATTCTTTGTGGCTCTTGAGTAAAACTCTTAATACATGATACATGAATAAAATGGAATTTCAAAACCATTTAAGAAAATAAATTTTAATTCTTTAAAAGTATATATTTATGATACAATCATTATACAAGAAAACGCATACATGGACTTAATTCTATCTCACTTATGGTATGATCTTAGGAAAGTCATTTATTTTCTGAGCACCCTTTGTTAAAATGTTATACTTGATCCATAGGAAATAAATAATTGACATATATAATATGTAAAACTATTTCATTTAAATAAAGTAGTATGCAAATGTGGAATAACAGCCTGATACTAAAAGTTACCTGTAGTAACTGCACCCATGACTCATAAATCAAAACTGATGTTTGTAGTATGTGTGTACCTAAATACTTGTATGACCAACAATTGCTATATTTTTGTTAATTTTTAAGAATAATGAACTATACTCCAGATATGCCCCAAGCTGATGTGGATCAGGCCATCCAAAAAGCTTTACAACTGTGGAGTAAGGTCACACCACTAATGTTCACCAAGATCTACAAGGGGGTTGCAGATATCATGATCGCCTTTAGGACTCGAGGTAAGGTTTTCCACCGAGAGAAAATTGTGGCTATTTTTATCTCAGGAAATTTGAGAAAACTGATTTTCTTCCCCATGAATTGTATCTCAGTCCATGGTTGGTGTCCTCGTCATTTTGATGGCCCCTTGGGAGTCCTTGGCCATGCCTTTCCTCCTGGTAGGGGTCTGGGTGGTGACACTCACTTTGATGAGGACGAGAACTGGACAACTAAGAACACAACAGGTGAGTCTGACTTTCTTTCTTTCTTTCTTTCTTTCTTTCCACAGTGTTTCACCATGTATTTCAGGCTGGCCTTGAACTCACTATGTAGCCCAGGCAGTCCTCGGGGTGATCCTCCTGCCTCAGTCTCCTAAGTGCTGGGATTACAGGTGTGGACCACCACGCTCGGTCAGATTTTCTTGATAAACAAAGTGTGTCATTCCAAAGAATCTCTGAAGAAGAATACTCAAACACCTAGTTGCCTTTTAACACTAAACTTTCCAGTTTCTCCTCAACTTTCCATATTCCAAGATGACATTTGCGGCAGTGCTCAATATCTATTCAGTGCTTGTGCAGCTCAAAGCCTTATTCTCACAATGCCTTCATAAATCTGCTACTTCTGGTCTGATCAGGATATACCCATTTATATGTCCACAATGCCTGAGGGTCCACTATGTGCCTAAAACTATGCTAGGACCACAAAGTTGAACTTAAAGGTTCCAGCCCTTCAGAACTTCATGATCCTGTGTGGATGTATAAGGCCTGGACCCATGTGCCTGCCATACAAGGCAGAATGCATTATGTGTTGTACCAGTGGTAGAAGTCATCTATTGTTTGAGGATTAGGTGACAGCTTTAGGGAGGTGATAATGTTGAGCTTCTGAAAGAAGCTTAAAGAACAGTGTGTGGATTGTGGATTCAGGGGCCATAGAGGAGCTATTTAAAAATGTAAACGTTCTCTTCTAACGCTTGCCTATGTGTGAAAGAATTATGTCCTAAATCTTATATTCAAGAGTATAAATTAAATCTTATATTAAGTTGATTTCTCTTAATGAACCTGACTGGCACTAGAGATGTTTTATTACTTTTCAAACAAAAACAAAACTTTACTACAGTAACAGCATGTGCATTAAACAAAGGAGCAGGCTCCAGAGACTCTCTATGTCTCTCCATTCTTTTTGTCCTGTCATTGACTCAATCATCTCGGTTCTGGTGTCTGGCTTCTAGGTAACCAGGAAAGCATATACTTGATGTGCTTCTTGATGGCAGCACACAAGCATGCACTTCAGTTTAATCTTGACAACAGATAGTCTGGGTCGGTTCTACATTTTCTGCAAAATGGTCTGTGGTCAGTTCCACCACGTGAAGCAACTGTTCTTCCATGTGCTAGTAAGAAATGTGAGGAGGTCAGTACTGACTAAGCTTCAGGAAGTGGGGGAGGGGGAAAGTGAGATTGGTTGCTGCCATTGCTATATCAGTTAGCATCACAATAGACAAAAGGACAATGGAGGAATATTTTCATCCAAACAACCAAATACTCTCAAACTTGCCAGAATCAGGATTACCTCCCTTGCTTAGACAGTCTTTACTATCATATCTAGAGGCAGAAATCAGCCAGAGATTTCATTATCTTTTTATCCTTTAAAATATAACACTTAGTAGTAATAACTCTTACCCATTGGCTCCGCTCTCTGTTAAGTGAGATGTGTGCAGAGAATTATTAAAAATCCCAAAGAGGTCAGGGCTCCACGTTGGCAAGGCTTACTAGAGCAAGGCAAGAGATAATACTGCCCTCAACTAAATTCTAGGTAGGCTACTAGATGGCAATTCCAAAAGGTTTGTCTTTTGACCACTTTACTATATTCCCTCAGGATAGCAGGGAGTGGAAGAAGGAATGAAAGTATAAAGACAGAGGTTAAAAAGAGCATGAATGGCACAGATAGAAATACAAATGGTTCTATATGGCTGGTTCATGGACTATGAAAATAAAATACGAGGCTGGAAAAAAGACAGGGGCTAGATCATGGAAGGCCATGTGAAGGTATTTGGACTTTATCCTACAACCAATGGAGAATCTCTGAAGAATGTAAGTAGGAGCAACACAATCACATATAATAAAGTAAAGCAGAATGAAAAACTGATGACTTCATTTTTAAAATAGTACTATGCATTTTTGAGTAACTAGTTTCAAGATAATTGCCTACCCTGGATTAAATTTCTCGTGACATGACTAGTTTCAATATTAATAATCAATTGTTTGACAGCAAGACTTCATTCTTCTTAGCTACTTCCTGATCTCAGATGCAACCATTCCCCTTTTGATCAACTTGTGTCCTCATGTTTCTTCTGTTTTTATTAAGGATTTAACTTGTTTCTTGTGGCTGCTCATGAATTTGGTCATTCCCTGGGGCTCTCTCATTCCAATGATGAAAGAGCATTGATGTTCCCAAATTATGTCACCCTGGATCCTAGCAAGTACCCACTTTCTCAGGATGATATCAATGGAATCCAATCCATCTATGGTGAGCAATATAAATCTGAATGTATGTGAACTAAATAGGAAGCTTTTCAGAAAGGAAGTTGAGAAAGTTACTCTTGAAATATTATGAAGCAAAAATTTACTTAAGTAAGATCCTTCTGTGGGCAAATTTCCTCATGTCTTCTTAATCCACTGTGGTATTTCTTTTCTCATCAAAGGAGGTCTACCTACAGCACCTGTCAAAACAAAAGGAACCAATATACCCCATGCCTGTGACCCTAACTTGACTTTTGATGCTATAACCACTCTCCGCAGAGAAGTGATGTTCTTTAAAGGCAGGTAAACCCACTCCCATATACACTTCAACTTCAAAGAAGACTTTTCTTTTCAAGAGGTTTGAGAATAAAGAGGGGTCATGAAGACTATGAAAATATGTATCATTCTATCTTATAATTGCACATTCTATCTGAATGTCTTACCATATGTTTATATCTTATACTTGTTTGCTAAGCTAATTTTAAATTACCTAAAGCAATTTTTAAATTCTATAAGAAAGTAGAGTCTACCTTAGATGACTACTTGACCAAAATAATACACCAATCCCAGTGCTGAACTGGAACCAGTTTATACCTGATTTTAGGAGCCTATTGATAAATTTTCAGGAATTTTGCAAATTAGTTTGCATCATATTGGTAGATGAAACTGGCCATGGTGAAGTACATACACACTATACAGGAGCAAATGTTAAAATTCAGGTCTTTTTCTCAACTGGAGACCCAGTTGTTAAACATGTATCTGCATACCATTGATCATTTCTTAATGTTGCATCAATGAAGTACAGTTCTGTTGGATTTCTGTAGGAAATCTCTCACCATACATAATGTGTTGGAATTAATTGCAGCATTGTGTCAGTTATGTATACCAGAACCATATTTTATGAGCAAACTATCAGTACATAATCCACTTGACAAGTATTTAGAGGCCAAAAAAAAAATTGAAATGGGACTACTTTCACCCATGACTACCTAAACAGGTTATTATTATCATGCTTGACTAGCAGAAGCCCAGAGATCACCTGTTACAGATATCAGACAAGAGTCACCTATATAGGAGAGGAAATCGTAACAGAGACTTCTCAAGTATAATTCATAGATTTGGAATTTTCCAGCCAGATGGGAATATCTGAGGAAATATTTTAGCATGCCAATAATAAAATTTCCTCATTCCAGCAAACATTAACATCGAAATGTTCCTCTGAGGATACTTGGTGTTAAGAATGTTGGGTGTTGCTGCAAAAATGAGGTGATTGAGCATTCAGAACTCTTTGTATGATTTCTATGGATAGTTAGCCACTTTCCCCAACTGGGTACACACAAAGGGCATGTCCTGACCTTGGTAGTTCAAAAAGTAGAAATAACCTCACAACCACCTAAATGTACTGGGGGAAATGGTATTAATTCTATAATTATGTGAGGAAAATATCAATCAATTAGAAGACAAGCCTAAGATTGCAATGCTGTCATTGACATAGTTATGTAGGCTACATATATAGAATGTTGGGGTTTTTTTTAAAACACAGGCATTTATGGAGGATCTATTATGATATTGCTGATGTGGAATTTGAGTTGATTGCTTCATTTTGGCCATCTCTGCCAGCTGATCTCCAAGCTGCCTATGAAAACCCCAAAGATACAATTCTGGTTTTCAAAGGTAAACTTTCCCTTTGTGACTTTTCTCTTTCTTCTGGATGCCTGAGCTGGACAGTGGATATTTTGGTGTAAGGAATATAATCTTCATGCATGAGCCAAATGAACAAGGCTTTTGCCCTGATCTTAGGTCTCTGTCAAAAAGAGCAACTATCCAGGAGATTCTCTGTGGCTGCAAAGATAAACACCATCGCAGTTTCACAGGGACTAAAAGAAACTTGTATGATTAAAAACTTTAAAAGTCCTTGTTTATTCTGCCAGGTAAAGGTAACCTAGCTCCTTTTGTTCTTCTCTTTTTATAGGATTTAGATTTGGCAAATAAAAATATAGGATGCTATGAATGTCAGAAGACAGCAAATAAGTTTTTAGTATATGTGTGCCACCTTGAAATATTTTAGGTACACCAAACATTAGTCATTTTCATTTGAAATTCAAATTTAACTGGGATCATATTTAACCTAGCAACCTTATTTCTTATATGAATTTCATCAGATTATTAGCCTTTGAGTATATTTGAGGGTTAAAATTTAGGAAAACGTGTCCAAACATGTTTTGACAGTTTGCCAATTAAAAACAATCGATAAAAAAGCAATTGATAGGAATGGCACACTATTGACTATTGTTATATATTATTTTCATAATATTAATGATATAAGAGGCTAAGAAAAGTGGTAAGAACACATGGGGAGGGCCAGGGATTTATCTCAGTTGTTCTGGCGCCTGCCTCGCAAGCATAAGGTGCCGAGTTCGATCCCCGGTACCAAAAAAAAAAAAAAAAATACTTGGAGCTGGACATGGTGGCGCACATGTGTGATCCCAGCACTTGGGAGGCTGAGGCAGGAGGGTCAGTACAAGTTCAAGGCCAGTGTGGGCTACACAGTGAGTTCAAGCCATCATGAACTGCTTAGCAAGACCCTGTCCAAAGAAAAAAAAAAGAGAAACGCAAAGCTCAGTGTTACTATTTTAAACTGACTTGGTACAAGAATCAGTCTGAACATTTCCTAAGAGCTTAATTATCACCTCACTTTCATTATTACATTTTACCAATCAGTTTCTTTGTTTTGTGGTCCTGAGGCTCACAGGCGGTCTGCCACTGAGCCCACCCCAGCCCTGATTTCCGGTTTTATTGTGCAGGAGCATTAAACCCTCAGCACCATCAGAGCCAAGTGGCAGATCTTGGCTGGGGAAGGCGGAGGCAGATCGCGTCCCACTCTGAGGAAAGAGGCGACAGGCAGGGGAGGCTATGGGGAGATGAGAATTCCAGAATTCTCAAGAAAGAGACAACAGTTACCCTCAAGTGACCCAAAGAAAGCGACTGCTCTGTCACCACACTTCCCACAAATTTCCTATTGTGCAGAGAGGGATTCATGAGCCAGGAAGGTCAGAGAAAGGGAAGCCACCCAAGGAAGGAGCCACTTCCTCTGGGTTGTGCTAAGGTGACTGCACGCTGCACACCTGCGTGTCACACACACTAGCACCTGAGAGCATAAAACTTCTCAGAAACAGTGTCCTCCGATTTTGCAGCAGCAGCACTAAAGAGTAGAAATGAATTGGGAAAACCCCAAAAGAAGCCCTTGTGATCTCTTCATATGAACTTGGATGTTATTCTTATCTATATTCAAACAACTGAACATTCAAAATGTGACAAGTCTGACATGGTGGCAGACACCTGAAAAAAGAAAAACCAAAACCAAAATGTGATAACGTTTTACAGTCTGGGAGCCCAAGGAGTCTTGTGATCACTCTGTCTTAACTACCAACTGTTATCATCCTCTATCTTATGGCAGAGTGGAGATGCAATAAAGCAGAAAAAGCAACTCGATTTTTTTTTTTTTTTTTGGAGATTTACTCAACTGTAACATGGGCTTCTGAGCTGGGTGTGGTGGCACAGGCCTGTCATCCCAGCACTCAGAGGCTGAAGCAGGAGGATTGCCACCAGTTGGACGCCAGGCTGGGCTACATAGTGAGTTCAAGGCCAGGCTGAACTACGTAGTGAGACCCTGTCTCAAAAAATAATTGTATGACAATAACACCTCAAAAAAGCTGTATTTGCAGTTGGGGAAGAGAATCCAGGGCTTTATACATGGTAGGAAGTGCTCCACCACGGAGCTACACTCCCAGCTCTGAAGGCTGGTTTTTGTTTAGAGATAAGGTCTCACTACACAGCCCACACTGGCCTCAAACTCCCTTTGTGGCCCACCTAGGTTGGCCTCAAAATTATGACCCTCCTGCCTCAGCATCCCAGAGCTCAATTCCAGTGTATACCACCATACCCAGCTCCCATGGCTGCTTTTAGAGAGACTGAGGGAAAGAGTGTAAATGCAGTAGCTCTTTTCCTAATCATCTCTCAGGATCAGCGTCTCTGATTGAGCTTCATGGTAGGTTACCAACTATCAATTCATGAAAACTTGTATTTCTATACTTCTCTTAAATGACCTTCTGCTGGGAACAACTCGTTACTATGGGATAAGTATTAACAATTAACAAGAACTGGAAATGTGTCTCGATTCTGAAGTTTTATTTTGCTTTGTTTTTCAGTAGTGGGGGTTACACCAGAGCCTTCACACTGAGTCATACCCACATCTCTATTTTTTGAGTCAGGGTCTCCCTAAGTCACTAAATTGCCTAGCTGGGTTTAAACTTTCCATCCTCCTGCCTCAGCCTCCCAGAATGCAGAGATTACAGGTGTGAGCCACCAGGCCCAGCAAAGGCAGGTTTTTTTTGTACCGGGGATCAAACTTGGGTCCTTGTGCTTTCGAGACAGGCAGCAGAACCACTGAGCTAAATCCCTGGCCCAAGCAAAGGCAGTTTCAAGACTCCCACCAAAGAGATTTTATAAACTGGGCTTTCCTTTTCTATACATAATTAAGCACTCCCAATTCTACCAGCCTCCTTTTGTTTTTTGAGACAGGGTCTCACTGAAGTTGAGGCTGATCTTGGACTATGTAGCCCAGGCTGCCCTCAAACTTTTGGCGATCTTCCTGCCTCAGCCTCCCGTGTGCTGGGATTACAGGTATGCACCACCACACCTGGCTACCAGCCTCCATTTTGGCAGTTAATCTGTCTCTAGCATCAAGAACACTGCAAGCACTTGTAAATACCTAGTGAATGAACAAATAAAATCCCACTTGACTTGTCACCACCTTCTCCTGGGACCACTATGGACCAAGACAGGTGGCATCTCAGTTCCTCCCTCTTAACAATCCCATTTCTACAGGCAGGTGCTGTTTGGGTTCTGGCATTTTTATTATTTCCCTTTTAACATTTGGAAAACAGTATTCTAGCTTAGTACATCCTGGAAAGGAACTAAAAAGTTCTATCAAATATTATGTGTAAGAAGCAATCAGGCTGGGGGTATAGCTCAGTGGTAGATCTCGTGCTTAGCATGTGCAAGGCCCAAGGAGGGAAACTGTTAAAAAGGACAAACAGATGACAACACATGGGGAAAGCATGGACTACTATCTGGGAGAGAAAAGTCCACAGATTAAAAGGATCATGATGCTGAGTCTGCAGCTACCTGGAATTCGAGAAGTGTGAATCAGAAAACAAAAAGAACTACCACTATGACCACAAACTAAAATCATAAGCCGTTTACCTGCCACCATTTACACAGCACGAAAGCAGGGTGTTTGCATGTTCAGATCGATAGAGAAAATCTGAAGTATAAATTAGTTATTAAGGTAGCTGAAGTAGAATAAGTAATACATTCCTTTAAGATTTACCTTTCCCATAACTCTTATCGTCTAAGGTGATGGCTAACAACCTTTGACCTGTAACCTAGCTGTAGATAACATTTAACCTGGAGAAAAGCAAAGTAGAAATGTTTAGGTAGTTTACAATGTATGTGTTTTAAGCACCATCTGTTTGTTATATGTCTGTGACTTTAACCATTAACAGGAACTAGTTGTAGAAGAGAAACAAATTTTACTAAGACCACCAGGAATGAGGTAATGGCTAAAAGAAGATATAAAAGGAAATGTTAAAAGAAAGAACGGCACAGACATTGATCAGACAAGTTTCTGGCAGTCCTGCCTTGCTGGCAAGTAAAGGCTTTGTTTTTTTACCCAACTTCTGTATCTCCATACATTTCTTTCTGTGATTCTGGAACAGGATGATGGACAGCAGTTGGGTTATGAAAGGTGTATTTGTTGAATTTGTGAAACTAAAAACATCTATAAAAACACAGCTGAAGGGAACAAACAAACATTCTCGTGGGGAACTGTTCCAAGAGGTGGAACTAGGCTGAGTGTCGTGCTGCACACCTGTAATCCCAGCACTCAAGAAGCTGAAGCAGGAGGATCACCATAAGTTCAAGGAAAGCCTGGGGTACACAGTGAGTTTAAGGCCAACCTGAATACATAGTGAGACCCTGTGTCAAAATACAGCACTGTAGTGTTTCTCTAACTGCCCAATTCTCCCTAAATTGTGATAAATGGCTCTCAGTGGAAGGTAGCCAAAGAATACCTTGCTTGGAAAATAAAGGTAGAAGCTCATCAGTCAGATCAGGTTTATTTAGAACAAACCTGAGAGGTCCCGCCCTGGGATTTAGACCAGAACGGTCCCTGTTGTACGGACTATAAGGTCTTTCAGGGTTGTGAGCTGTGGAGGGGAGGGGCTGTGAAGAGAAAAGGTAAAGACTGTGCTTGAGGGGCCGGGGATTTAGCTCAGTGGTTCCAGCGCCTGCCTCGAAAGCGCAAGGTCCCGAGTTAGATCCCTGGTACCAAAAAAAAAAAGAATGTGTTTGAAAGGTGGTCAGGACCCAGTGAAAGGAGGTGTGGACGCGGCTTGACAAAGTACAGGGAGTGGTGGCCGGTTGTCAGGAGCAGGGCTGGAGGATGACGGGGTTACGGGGTGCAGCCAGGAGGCCGTATTAACCCGTGACTTTGCATCTTAGCAGGGGTAAGAGGATGGGGGGGTGGGACCTTGAAGTGGCCTCTGGTCAGCCTAGGATGGCAGCGGTGCGCCGCCTTCCCACCTTCCCCTGCGTTTTCTCCTCGACCTGCACTCAGGAAGCTGCTGACTTGGGGCAAGGAAGTGGCCTAGCCTCAAACCCTGAAGGGCCATTTTACCAGGCACGGGACACCTGATATTTAAGCTTTTCCCCTAGGGGTTCGGAAAGCAGCACCGCAGCCTTTCCCACCACACAGCCTGCACAAGTTTGGACTTCTTAAACCAAACCTGGTGGCACAGGTCTCTGAGCCCAGCACGCTGGCAGGCTGAGGCAGGAAGGTCCCAAGTTTGAGCCCAACCTGGGCAACTCAGTGACTCTATGTAAAAATAAAACACATAAAAGGTTGAGGATGTATGTAGCTCAGTGTGAATGAAGGTCCTGGATTCAATTCCCAGTACTGCAAAAATAGATTAATTTTTTTTTTTTTTGGTACCGAGGATCGAACTCGGGTCTTTGTGCTTGCAAAGCAGGCAACGGAACCACTGGGCTAAATCCCCGGCCCCTCAATTAATTTTTTTTTAATGTTCTCTACAGCCCCGGTCCCCTTCGGACGTCACTCTGTCACCTCCCTATCCCTAGCAGCAAGTACACTGCAAGTCCTTGGTAAAACACCTGTTGAATGAATGAATAAAACCCCACTTAAGGGGGTCGCTTCTAGGCCCCCACCCAACCTCGGCTCCGCCCAAGAGTGAAATCCTCGCCACCGGGCAAAGCAGGCACGCTCCGCTGTCCCTTCCTCCCCGGGGTCCCTGACTCCTCCGCGCCCTCCGCCCTCCGGGGTCTGGACCCACGCCCGAGGCTGTCTAACCCCAGCCCTCCGGCCCTGCGGCCCCGCCGTCCTTCCCGGCCCGCGCCGCCTCCTTCCGGGCCCTCCTCCTGCGGGCGGACGCGTCCTGGGCGGGGCTCCGCGCGGGCGGAGGAGACGGCGCGGTAGGTGACCGAGCGCGGGCAGGGGCCATGGCCATGCCAGGCTGCTGCGGCGCGCTGCGGGCCTTCCTCTTCGAGTACGACACGCCGCGCATTGTGCTCATCCGCAGCCGTAAAGTGGGGCTCATGAACCGAGTCGTGCAGCTGCTCATCCTGGCCTACGTCATCGGGTGAGCGCCGCGGGGTCGCCGGGGTCGCGCTCGGGACCCGGGCCGCTGTGCACCTGAGTTTAAGGGCAGAGCTTGGCTGCCCTAGCGTCGCCTTTTCTTTGCTACTTTACCTCCCAGCTGCTCCCTCTGACTGGGGCGAGGGGTGCGGTTTGCCCCGAACGCCTCAATCCCCCCTTCTCACTTCTCATTCTAGTGATCGACTGACAAAACCAAGGCTTGTGATTTCCACTTGGTTCCCTCTGGGTCTGTGGCTTCGGGTCTCTTCCTCTGAGTAGCAGGCGGTGACCCAAGAGTTTGGGGGTGCGAGTGTGGGACCCTACCTGCCCTGTGCTTACGGACCTAAGCCCTGCCACGCTCGACCTCACTAGATGTGTAGTTTAATCGCCTCCACCGTTACGGTGCCATACAACCCTGGAGAGGAAGTGGGCGTTATCTTGCCGACTTGGCCCACTTTTAAGGTTTGCCTGGAGCGTCACGGTGTCCACAGCTGCTGGCCCGACACATGGATCTGCTTTCTGGTTTTCCTGATAGGCTTAGAGCGGTGGTCCCCAAAATGAACCCTGGACCCATCCAGGAGTCTTTAGAAAACAGTGACTTTGGGCTCCCATCCCCAGACCTTGTGATTCAGTTGCTACAGAATAGGACCAGCGCTCCGCACACTTAGCTGATTGTGAGTGACTCATCCGCAGCTTTAGAAGTAACAGATCTCTCCTGGGGTGGGGTTGGAATCTGTTAGCATCGCCCAAGGGAACTTGGGCGGTGGCAGCAGGTGCTGACGGTAAAGGTTTCCTTCCCCATGCAGCTCAGGGGTAAAGTGTGTTCAGCAGGTGTAAGGCCCTGGGTTCAATCCCCAGCACTAAGAAGCAAACCCAAAAAGCCAATCCAGTTATGGGCACCACATCAGAACCAGCTGGTACGTACGGGGCTTGGAGTCATTGGTTCCTGGGGTGAGGTATTCGCACTCAGCCAGCTCCTTAACTGAGTCATGGTGCTGGGGCCACCAAGGCTGCTTGATGGACTGGGCTCATCCCTGTGGGAGCCGAAGCCTTGGGGTCGGCAGCTCTCTCGCAGCTCTTAACTCCTGGCTCTTCTGGAAGGAGCAGGTGACAGCCAGCTCAGGGAACCGTGAGAGTCTGGACGATGGAAAGTGTCTCCCGCTGTGTTGTGCCTTAGGGTGGCCACCGGTCACATGTTGCTGTCACACACTGGAGCTGTTCTACTACAAACTGAGATGCACTCTATAAAGTATACACTATATTTTGAAAACAGTACAAAAAGGGAGTAAAATACCCCATCAGTACTTTTTTACCGATGACATGTTAAGATATTTTGGATATATTGGGTTACATAAAATATATCATTAAAATTAATTTTCCTGTGTCTTTAGTTTTTAACATAGATACTAGAATTTGTTAAATTCCACATGTGCCTGGCATTATATTTCCCAGTACTGTAAAATACTTTTATATTTCTGTTGGCCTTAAGGGTTCCTATTGGGATTTAGGGTTCCTGGTCTTGAGGATTTTTAAAGCAGTGGTTCTTTGCTTGTATACATCTTGCTATGATCAAAACTGACTCAGGGTGGACGTGGTGGCACACACTTGTCATCCCAACACTTGGGAGGCTGAGACAGGAGGATCACAGCAAGTTCAAGGCCAGTCTAGGCTATGTAGTGAGTTTAAGACCAGCCTGGACTACACAGCAAAACCCTGTCTTGAAAAAACAAAAAGAAAAAAAAATACCAACTTGTTACACAATTTCCTGATCCAATTAATCTGGGTGAAATTGTAGTTTCCTCTTCCCTACAGCAACCTTTCCTGAAAAGAGACTGAACTCCTAATTCCCATTCATCCTGTTATCAGTCGTGTGATGAGGAAATCATCACGTGACAATGAATGCCGTGACGCCATCAGTCTCCACTCTAGCAATGCACTGTACTCGGCGGCAGAATGATAGTGGCCTTCCTGCCCCCAAATGCCTCTGTGTCAGGCTGGAATGAATTGTGGCTTTACCATAGCTGAGCTTCCAGAAGCCCTGTGGAACAGGACTTGGGGAGGGCGGCCCCTACCTCTAGGACGGACAGTGAATTTGGACTGCCCAGATCAACAAACCCATAATAAGCAACCCACGAACTTATGAAGTCTTAGCTTGTAGGAATTACAAGGAGGGGAGATGGCATATTTCTTAACTCTAGAAATAATAGTTTTGTTATTGTTTTTGGAGTCAGGCTGACCCTTGAACTCACTGTGTACCTAGGCTGGCCTCAAACTCATGGCGATCCTCCTGCCTCAGCCTACTGAGTGCTGAGATGACAAGCATGTGCTACCATGCCCAGTGATTTTTTTAATTAATCAGACTGTCATCAGATGGGGTCCAAGGAGTCTCCCCCAAAGAGGAGGTGGGTACTGCATCTCACCCTGTGGGGTAGATTTGTCAGCTCTCATCACAGAAAAGCATTTCAGGACATGGAGAGGCACAGGCAGATTAGGCAGAGCTAGAAAGTCAGAGAAAATGGGGCTGGGACTCCAGCCGGAGGAGCTGAAAGGGGCACAGCTTGGTGAGGATTGGACTGGCTCATTCACAAAAGAAAGAGACCATCCTTGCCAGGCCTGGTAGTGCACTCCTGTAACGCCAGCATCATGGGAGGCTGAGGCAGGAGGATCACCGCCAGTTCCAGACCTGCCTGGACAACCGTGGCACAGTCCTGGTTCCCCAGATGCTTTGAGGGGATAACTGGGCCTCCCTGAGGTGATGGTTTCTGCTTAGGGCAGTCTGTTCCTTGGAGGCCTGTGGAGCTTGTGGAGCCTTGTGGGCGCTTGGAGGTGCTGTGTGTCCCTGAAGTCTCTTATCCTAGTGTCCTGGTCTTGAGGGGGGAAGAGTGGTTATGTAAACACTGGGCTGGTCAGCCTTGAATTGCCCTTTAGACAGACCTTGGCTCCCGAAATGATTAACTGATGAGCGGGCCTGTGTGCAGAGCCGAGCAGGGGTCAGACCCGAGTCTTAAGGTAAAAAAAGGTTGTTTTGTTCTGCTTTTAGTTCCCTACTAGGCACCAAGTGAAGAGGCAGTGTTTTCATTTATTAAAAAGCAAAAACCACTTTTAAGTCCTTGAGTGCCTCAAAAAAAAGCACAAATCATGCCTCTTTGGGGGGAGGGGATTGAGACAGGGTTTCACTGTGTAGCCCAGCCTGGCCTTGAACTCACAGCAACCCACCTCCCCCAGCCTCCCAAATGCTGGGATTACAGGCAGGTGCCACTATGCCTAGCCCAACACATCATGCTAGTAATGAGTGACAGGGGCCAGGAGCTTGTCCCTGGTCCCTGAGAAGTCTGGGTATAGACTGGTAGTCATTTCTTCCTGTAAAAAGGATCTTGTCATGTGAGTTCCTAGGAGAAGTAAATGATTACAAAGTTCCAGAAAGGTGGGATCCTCTCTTCTGGAGAGAGGAGCAGTGTGGGCACAAGAGGAGGCTTCAGAGGCTTCTGGCTGAGTTCTGCTCCTGACCCTGCCTCTCCGGCCCCGACTGCCTCATTCAGTGGCCGGGATTCCATGAGCTCATCTGTATAAAGAGCTTAAATCCCAGCTTGGTCCTGACGACTCTCAAATGGAAATTATTCCTATCCTAATGTGTTATTTCTCGGCGATTCCCACAGGGTTCAGCGTACTGAAAGTGATCAGATGCCCAATGACAAAAACTGAGCATTTCCTGATCGCTGATCACTGTACTAAGTGCTTTAGCTGCAGCATCTCATTTATGTTCCACAAAATAAATCAAAGGGCCACTGTCTCCTCTTTGCAGAAGTGGAAATGGATCTGCCGGAAGTTAAGCAGCTTCCACAAAGCCACGTGATTAGTAAACGCGCTTTCTGCCTCCTCCCTGGTGGCCACTGAAGAGCCTGCTGTCCTTTGCAGGTGGGTCTTCGTGTGGGAAAAGGGGTACCAGGAGAAGGACTCCGTGGTCAGCTCCGTGACGACCAAGGCCAAAGGTGTGGCTGTGACCAACACTTCTGAGCTGGGGTTCCGGAGCTGGGATGTGGCCGATTACGTGGTCCCTGCTCAGGTGCGTCCCCCTGTGCGACCTCCGCCCCTCACCCAGCCCTCTTCCCAACTATGCCCCTCGATTCATGCTTCAAGGCCACAGAGCCAACTTCTCCAGCGCCGGGCCCAGGGCTGCAGCAGAGTGGCCAGGTCTCCTGGCTTCTGGTCCCAGCTGGGGTACTCAGGGAGCCAGCTGGCTGCTCAGCTCACAAACGTCCCCACAGACACGAGTCCTCCCAGTTGCCACAAGGCTCGGAGGTCAGGAAACCAAACGTCTCAAATCCTGGGGCAAGTTCAGGTGGACACATCCCCTTTCCTCTTTGCTTTATCGTCTTCCACCCACAAGGTAAACCTTGGCAGACAGTGTAAAATCTTCACAGTAACTAGAGACCCAAGCTGGCCAGAAGGAAATGGCACCCGATTCCACCAGGGGCAAAAGCAAAGGAAGAAATTGTTTGATGCAGCATTTGAGTTGCCACAAGGCAGCAAGTTAACATTTTGGTTGTTTTCTTTTGTTTTGGGGGTTTTTTTGGCATAGTTGACCAAACCCAGGCCTCACACATTCAAGGCAAGTGCTCTACACTGAGCTACACCCCCAAAGCTGCAGGTTAAACAATGATTCCATGGTTGGGGGGGGGGGGTTGTGGTTTTTGGGTGTTTGGAGGCAGGGTCTCACTATGTACTTCAGGCTGGCCTCAAACTCACTATTTAGCCCAGCCTGGCCTCAAACTTGTGGCCATCCTCCTCCCTCAGCCTCTCAAGTGCTGGGGTTATAGATATGTGCTACCACGCTCAGAATAACGTGGACTCTTTAACTGCACTGTGTGACCAAGCCCCCAAATGCCCCTGAGGTGTTCAGTGCCTATGACAGCCAGATTCAGAAAAGCGCCAGCTCCTAGCTCAGAGTTGTGAGAGGAAAACACGGACTTGGAAACATTCCCCTAGTGTCATTTCCCTCCTTCTCTAGAGAAGGGTGTGACAGGTGAAGAGAAGACAGCTAGTTGGACAGAGCAGGGATGCAGGTGGCCCGCTGAGTGGTCCTGGTGAGCTCCGGCCCTGTCTCCAAGTAAAAATAAAAAAGGCAGGGGATGCAGTTGAGTGGGAGAGCGCCCTTGGGTTCAGCCTAAATCTGCAAAATTAACTGATTAATTAAATACAACTGATGCACCCAGCAGAGGAGCTGGGTCCAACCAGAAACTTCCGGGGGCCCTGCCTGACATTCCTTCTATTAGGAGGGCATATGTAGTCACGTTCCAGTCTCACGCCCAGCAGTGCTTTTCAGAAACCCCGAAACACGTGTGGAGGGGGACCCAGCAGGGCTCTGTCCCCTCTGCAGGAGGAAAACTCGCTCTTTGTCATGACCAACATGATCATCACCGTGAACCAGACCCAGGGCACCTGTCCCGAGGTAGGTGGCGCCCCAGGCCTGGTCCACACCCCTCCACCCTGACCGGACCCGGGGAAATCATCCTCCTCTTCCTTTTCCTTCCAGATTCCTGATAAGACCACAGTGTGCGAATCTGACGCCGACTGCACTGCGGATTCCGCGGGCAGCCACAGCGATGGTAGGAGCCCGGGCGGCTGGGTGGGCGGCTCCGGGCCGGACTGCGCCCCCTAGCGGGCAACGCTGAGCGGAAGTCAAATGCACGATGAGGCCCCAGCTGCAGACGCAGGGGTAGAGCACAAACGGAGCCCGCATGAAGCCTTGGGTTCCGCCCCCAGCACTAGAGGGAAAAATCCTCCCAGTTCCCCAATGCTCCGCCACCCTGGGTGAGCCTGGTATCAACAGAGGAACCTGGCCAGGGATTTAGCTCGGTGGTTTCAACGCCTGCTGCGCAAGCGCAAGGACCCGAGTTTGATTCCCCGGTACAAAAAAAAAAACAAAAAAACCCCACAGAGGAACCCTATAAGTCTGGCCTGGTGATGCACTCCTGTAATCCCAGCACTCTAGGAGGCTGAGGCAGGAGGATGGCAAATTGGAAGACCCAGGCCAGGGATTTAGCTCAGTGGTTTCGCCTGCCTCGAAAGCACAATGTCCAGAGTTCAATCCCCAGTACCAAAAAAAAAAAAAAAAAACCACCCCAAAATAAATTGGAAGACCCTATAGCAAAATAAAACAAAGACGGGATGGAGCTCAGTGTAAAGGCCCAAAAAAAAAAAAAAAAAACCACCCCAAAATAAATTGGAAGACCCTATAGCAAAATAAAACAAAGACGGGATGGAGCTCAGTGTAAAGGCCCTGGATTTGATCACCAATACTGAAAAAAAAAGCAGGACCCAGGACCTTCTTTCCATTCACCTCTGTCCTGTGAGCCCCAACCTTGCTCCATTCTGGGACGTGGTGTCCCTGGAGCCCCGTGTTAGTCAAGCAGAGATGTGGCTGCCACTCAGGTGACCATCGCTGGTCCCAATTCCTAAAATACCCCAACTGGAATTGTTCACACCGGCAGCATAGGATGCATGAGGAAGGGGGCCCAGCCACAAGGGTAAGAAAGAGGGGATCCCCGTGGACTGGACCCTCTCCCCTGCAGGAGTCAAGACGGGGAGATGTGTGCCGTTCAACGGGTCCGTGCAGACCTGCGAGGTGGCATCCTGGTGCCCGGTGGAGGACGACTCTCGGGTGCCCAGGTGAGTCGCCCCGGGACAGGCAGCACCTGAAGCTCCAGCTCTCGGTTGTCTGGAGGTGACAGGAAGCTGAGCCTGTGCACTGGGGCTTTCTGTGTACTTTGGGGGTTTGTTTGGGGGTTTTTTGAGACGGGATCTCACTGTACAGCCCAGGCTGGCCTCAAACTCCTGCTGATCCTCCTCACTCAGCCTCCCGAGTGCTGGGATCAGGCACTCGGCAGGAACGGAATCCTAACCCTTCAGAGCCAGAAAAGAGCCTCCGGAGCAGTGCTCCTCGACCCAGGGTCACCGGCTGCTGAGCACTTGAACTGTGACTGGCTCTGAAGGGACACGCGCTGTCAGAGTGGGATGCACTGTGGGCCCTGGAAACTTATATGGAAAAAAAGAACGCAAAATATCTGATTAATGTGTTAGTGACACATTGACGTAACATTCTGGATATACTGTGTTATAGTATAAAACTTAATGTCACCATTTCTTTTTACTTTTAAATATGGCTACTAAATAGGCCAGGCATGGTGGCTCATGGCTGTAATCCCAGCACTTGGAGGCTGAGGCAGGAGGATCAAAGTGTGTGTAAGGCTACATAGTGAGTTCAAAGCCAGCCTGGACCATGTAGCAAGACCCTGTCTCACCTAGGCCACTAGGAAACTTTATATTATAATGTGATCCAGGCATGATGGTGTCTACCTATAATCTCAGCTTTCTAGGAGCCTGAGGCAGGAGGATCCCAAATTCAAGCCCAGCCTGGGCAACTTAGTGACTTAGCAAGACCCTCCCTAGAAATTAGAAAAGGTCTGGGGATGTAACTCAGTGCCAAAGGCCTAGGTTCAATCTCTGGTACCACCAAACAAACAAAAATCCATTACTAAGAAGCCAGACCTAAAGGCCATGTATCCTGTATGCCATTCCTATGAAAATACCTGCAACAGGCAAATCTGGAGACAGGGAGTGGATGGCCGGCTCCCGAGGGTCTGGGAGGAGACTGGGTGAGGAGCAGGTAAGCAATGAAAGTGTCAGAAGTTTCCTCCAGGCCTGATGAAAGCCTCCAGAACTAGAAAGAGGTGGCAGTCACTGTCAGTGCATTAAATGCCACTGATTGGTTCTTTGTGTGTTTAAGACAGAGTCTTCCTCTCTTTGAAGGTGGCCTCAAACTTGCAGTGATTCTCCTGCCTCAGCCTGCTAAGTGCTGGAATGGCAGGCAGTACATTTTTATTTTATTTATTTGGTACTGGGGATTGAACTCAGCACCTTACGCTTACAAGGCAGGTGAAGGAACCACTGAGCTAAATCCCTAGCCCCAGCCCTGGCAGTACATTTTTAAATGGTTAATTTTATGTTATGTGAATTCCACCTCAATTTTTAAAAATGAGTCGATCTTAAAGAAAAATACTACATTTGGGGTGCACAGATCAGGGGGTGAAAGGTCTGACATGGGAAATGTCAAAGGTGTGAAAAGCCTGCTAGGGAACCAGACTTCCTGATGCTTAGGGAACGGGAGACCTGCCCTTGGCTTGGCCTTGGCAGCAGGGGGACAGGCCCGGCTGTCCTCACAGTGTGGCTGTATGCATGACCTTGCTCCTGTCCCAGGGGTGGAGAGACTGGTGATGTCATTTTTAGATTCCTGGGGTCCCCCAACTAGGGGCGGCCTCGAGGGCCACAGGGCCAGACCTGCATCTCAGGCTTCTGGCATGGAAAAAGCTATCTAGTCCCAGGGGCACCTCCGCCTCCTTCCCCTCCAGGGTCACTGAGGCTGCCTGGGGCCAGAGCCCTGCAATCCAGAGGAAGCTCAGTGCAGACGCTTCTCTGACCTGGGCTTGTGTTGGAGATTAGAGGTGCAGAGTTGCTTTTCTTCTCTTGACAAAGTGACATTGTAAATCCTGTATGTCATGTTTTAGAAATATTACATAACAGCCGGGTATGATGCCACACACCTGTAATCCCAGCACTTGGGAGGCTGAGGCAGGAGGATTACCATGAGTTTGAGGCCAGCCTGGGCTACATAATAAGTGCAAAGGCAGCCTGAAGTACATAGCAAGACCTTGTCTCAAAAAATAAAATTAAGGGCCGGGGATTTAGCTCAGTGGTTTCGCCACCTGCTGTGCAAGCACGAGGACCTGAGTTCAATCCCCTGTACCAAAAAATAAGTTAATTAATTAAATTAAAAGGGGAGGTATAGCTCAGTGCTTCCTGGGATCAATCCCTAACATCACAAATAAATAAATAAATAAATAAATAAATAAATAAATAAATAAATAAATAAATAAGTAAGTAAGTAAGTAAGTAAAAAGTCAGGTGAGGTACACACGCCTGTAATCCCAGCACTTGGGAGGCTGAGGAGAGAGGATCCTGCAAGTTCAAGGCCAGCCTGGGCTACACAGGAGACCCTTCTCAAAAAACAAAAAGAATATAAAAGAAAGAAAAAGATCACAGTTATGTGAATATACACACGTTTGTACTTTTTGTAACAATATGTTACCATTTTTTCAGACCTGCTTTTTTAAAGGCTGCAGAAAACTTCACGCTTTTGCTTAAGAACAACATCTGGTATCCCAAGTTCAACTTCACCAAGTAAGTGGGGCTGGGCTGAGCTTTCGGCCGGGCGCTGCTGGCCCTGGCTGACCTCGCCCTGTTCCGGCCCCAGGAGGAATATCCTCCCCAACATCTCCACCGCCTACCTCAAGTCCTGTGTGTACGACGCGCACACCGACCCCTTCTGCCCCATCTTCCGCCTGGGCCAGATCGTGGCGAGTGCGGGCCACAGCTTCCAGGACATGGCCGTGGAGGTAGGCGCGGGGCGGCTGTCCTCGCGCGTGCCCTCGGCCTCTGCCGGGAGCCCCACCTCGTCCCGCCTGTCCCACAGGGAGGCATCATGGGCATCCAGGTGAACTGGGACTGCAACCTGGACCTCGCCGCTGCCCTCTGCCTGCCCCGCTACTCCTTCCGGCGCCTGGACACGCGGGACCCGGACCACAACGTGTCCCCGGGCTACAACTTCAGGTGGGCGGAGCCGGCTCGGAGCGTGGGTTGGGCGAAGGTGGGGGAGGGCACCGAGCAGGGCTCAGGGCTCGCTCCTCGGGCTGCCTTCTCCCCTTCCTCCTTCAAGAAAGGTGTGCGGTGGGGGGGCGCCTGTACTTCCAGCACTGGGAAGGAAGGCTGAGGCAGGAGGATCACTGTGAGTTCAAGGGCAGCCTGGGCTACACAGTGAAACCCTGTCTCAAAAAACAAAAAAAACCAACCAACCTTGATACTGGGGATTGAACTCAAGGACTTTGCACAAAGCTACATTGCACTGAACTCCACCCCCAGCCCTTTTTATTTTCTGAGACAGGAATTTACTAAGTCGCTAAATTGTCCAGGCTGGGCTCAAACGTATGGTCCTGCCTCAGCCTCCCGGGAGTGCTGGGATCACAGGCGTGTGCCGCCACGCCTGGCTCTCTCCCAGCAACCCTGTCCTGGTCCTGTCACTCCAGTCTCTCTTCCCTCTTCTCGTGTCTCTGCGTCTTTTCCAGTACTGGGGTCTGAACCCAGGGCCTTCTCCCTGAGTCACTTCTAAAAATAGGCCCTACAAGCGGCACCTGAGTCAAGAGTGCTTTTGGGTGGCCCTTATCTCCTAGCCTAAAAAAAAAAAATCTATTTTTAAAAAATCTTATTTTGACTATGTACTTTTTTTTTTTTTTGGTACCAGGGATCGAACTCGGGACCTTGTGTTTGTGAGGCAGGCGGCGGAACCACTGAGCTAAATCTACAGCCCCTAAAAAAATCTATTTTGAGACAGCCTCACTCACTAAGTTGCCCAGTCTAAACTCAAATTTGCAATCCTCCTGCCTCAGCCTTCCAGAGTGCTGGGATTATAGGCATGCGCCACCTTCCCTGGCTGAAAAGTGTCTTTTGTCACAAGGGCACATTGGATTTAGGGGACACCCTAACCTGGTACAACCTCATCTCAGCTAATTATATCTGCAAAGACCCTGTTCAAACAAGGTCACCCTCACAGGTCCAGCACGGACATGAATGGGGGACAGGACTCAGTTCGGCAGGACTGAAATCTCACGGGCAGGAGCGTAGCAGCAAAACCTGTAGCCACCATTTTTCCCGTGCGCAGCACCCTAAAAACAGGCTCCTGAGTGGTCCGTGGGCCTTTTCATTGCCCTTGTTGCCCCCTCGTGGTGACGTGTGGCATTGCAGGAAACCTCTGCGGGACCTGCCCGCGCCCCGCAAGATTTGAATTTCCTTGTAGGAATTAAGTTTGTGTCGCTCTGTCTCCACCATCACCCGCTTCTTGGGGGATCCTTGCGGCACCCGCGGGCCTGAGTGGAAATCCACACCCGGCCCCGGCCCCGGCCAGTGCAGCACCATGGGATGCTCCCCCCTCCCCCGCCAGCGTCCCCCGCTGTGGTTCTGTTTTACGGCCGCCCGGGCCCTCCAAGCCCTGACCGCCAACCCGCCGTCCTCCCCGCAGGTTCGCCAAGTACTACAGGGACCTCGCTGGCCAGGAGCAGCGCTCACTCATCAAGGCCTACGGCATCCGTTTCGACGTCATCGTGTTCGGAAAGGTGGCGGCCTAGCCCGACCCGACCAGTGGCCTTCCTCCCACCCCGCCCGGCCTTTTATCCACTGACCCAGCTCAGAACTGGTTCTCCCTTCCCTGCTCCCTCAGGCTGGGAAGTTCGACATCATCCCCACCATGATCAACGTGGGCTCTGGCCTGGCGCTGCTGGGCGTGGTGAGTGGCTGTGTCCCTGCTTCCGGGGAAGGGGCCAGGCGGTCTGGGGGAGCCCAGAGCACCCTGCTCCTCCTCTCTCGCCCTTGCTGACTGCAGGCCACAGTGCTGTGCGACGTCATCGTCCTGTACTGCATGAAGAAGAGGTATTACTACCGGGAGAAGAAGTACAAGTTTGTGGAAGATTACGAGCAGGTAGGCGCTGCTGTGCTCCTAGCAGGCCGGAAGTCCCGGGACAGCGACCCCCTGTGCCTCTGTGGCTTGATCACCTGTCACCCTAGGCAGTTGCACGCCACCCTCGGCATCTGCGCCATCTCTAGACCCCTGGCTCTTTCACGTGAACTCTTTAAAACCTGGTTTTAAGCCAGCTGCACTGGTGCACACTTGTATTCCCAGCTACTCAGAAGGCTGAGGCAGGAGCATCCCAAGTTCTAAGCCGGCCTGGGCAACTTCACATGACCTTTTCTCAGACTAAAATTACAAAGGTCTGGCCTGTGGCTCAGTGGTAGAACATCTGCCTACTGTGCACATAGCCCCGGGTTCCATCCCCAGTACTGGGGGTCGGGGGAGCTTTGTTTTAATTAGTGACAACTTGGGTGAGTTATCATAACGGACCTATGACAAAACCTTTGCCCGTGCAGTACTTAAATTCCGCTTCCCTAACAAGAGGGCTGGGCACCATGTGGGAGGCCCTGCCCCGGGGCGTGAGGGGACTGTCCCCAAGTGCTCAGGAAGAGCACCGGGCCCGCCTGCGCCACATGGCCCTGTGCACGCTCACCTGCTTGTCCTCACAGGGCCTTGCTGGGGACACAGACCAGTGATGCTGCCCCGGGCCACACCAGGCTCCCGAGACCCTTGCGGACGAACAGGAAGAAGGGAGAAATGGGTGCTGTGTTGCTCGAGAATGTTCTGGATTTGGGCTCCGTCCCCACAAGGCCTCGGGGCGGCTGCAGCTGTGTTCTGTGCAGAGGGAGGGTCCCTTTGCCCCCCGCAGCGCAGTGGTCCCCTTGTTAGCTGGGCCACCTCTAGGGCATCCCGGTGAGTGGCCAGCCTGAGGCAGCAACACTGCTATGGCTCATGGGGCTGCCTGTCCTCAAGGGCCTCAGCGTCCCCCATGAGGACAGGTCCAGGTCTCTGAGCCAAGCACCTTGCAAGGAAAGAGAACCTGGGAGTGGTGGTGCACACTTGTCACTCGGGGAGGCTGAGGCGAGAGGATCTCTGTAGGTTGGAGGTCAGTCTGGGCTACACAGTGAGTTCAAGGCCAGCCTGGAGGAAATAGAGACCCTGTCTCAAACCAGAGGAAAGAAAAGGAAGGGCTCCCCGGTGTGGTCACCAGACCTGTAGCAGGCCCGAGCGGCTGTTCCTTCTCCCCCCACCAGAGACATTGTCCTTCCTTCCCATTTCTCTTCTAAGAGTGGCTGTGCTGAGTTGACTGAGGTCCAAACATTAAAACAGGTGATTTTTCTTAGCCCTTGTTTGCACTATCTCACATCTGCTAGAACTTGCCTTCCCTCTCTTCTACTTTATGAGGGTTACCAGCCATCAGTGCCCCACATGGTGGCGCACGCCTGTCATCCCAGCTCTCGGGAGGCTGAGGCAGGAGGATAATCGTGAATTCAAGGCCAACCTGGGCCGCATAGTGAGTTCAAGGCCAGGATGAACGACATAGCAAGACCCTGTCTCACAGAATTAAATGAAGGAGAAGACACCAGTTATCAGCATCAAAATAGAGTCACTTATGCCAAATCTTAACAAAATTGAGCCAGCGGTGGGGCGGGGAGAGGTCTTCACATGTATTTTCCTGATCGTGAGATTCTTCTCAGACCACAGACTTACAGCGAAAGCTACTTCCTCAACAGCCTCCCAGTGTGGCCTCACCATGAGACTTGCTTCTATGGCAGCCTCTCCTGGCAACACCCGCACACATGGCAGGGTCTTCATGAGGCCCCGCAGCTGAGGAACTAGCGTTTCACAACACCCTGCATGTACTTCACCTTTCAAACTGTCCTCATGGCAGCCAGGCGTGGTAGCACAGGCCTGCAATTCCAGCACTCTAAAGGCTGAAGCAGGAGAATCACTGCGAGTTTGAGGCCAGCCTGGGCTACACAGTGAATTGAACTACATAGCAGGAATAAAGCAAAAACCAACAGTGTCCCCAGGCCACAGCCTCCGGATGTGCGCGCCTATGCGTGGTGCAGCCTGGACTTCCATCTTGCCGTGACCCTGAACCAACTCTTTTTCAGGGCACCTCTCCCTGTCAGTATCCCAGGTTGGAAACTTGGGCCAGGAAATTCATTTGTCGTTCAGCACACTGTGCCCAGAAGAGGTCTTGAAACCGTCTGTGTCTTAATCTTTGGCTTTTTTTTCTTCCTGTTTTCATCCCTTAAATGCCTAAAACTTGTGACCTTCATTAGGTTGTCCCTTGGGAGCACATGATTTTTTTTTTCTCTAAGTGGATCTCACCTGCGCTGGCGTCTTAGGTGAAAGGTCTGCTACACAGGCGACACGTTTTAGAGGCCCGGAAGCAGTTTATCTGCGCTCCTTCCTGGGCCTCCAATCAAGGCAGACCCGCCCACCCCGGCACAGGTGTGTGGTGGTGGGCAACCGAGCAGCCTTCGCACCCGCCGTTCCCCACCAGCGGAACTACCCTGGCCCCAGGACGAGGAGGGCCAGCTGGCTCTCCTGCCCGCTCAGCGCCCGCCCCGGGCTCTTCTTGCTTTGGGGGTGGAGTTTACACAATCCTCTTGGCAAAACCCTAGGTGAAGGGTTTAAAAGGAGCTGCAGTTTCAGGGCTGGAGATACGGTCTGAACGTGCCCCCCGAAGTGCCTGTGCTGGGAACAATCCTCCAAGCAACAGGACAGCTGGAGGTACACGCGCAGCTCAGTGTGAAGGCCCGGGTCCATCCCGTCACCCCAAAAGGTGGGGGCGTGACGGGGGGGTTGTCTCCGCCCCCCCACCTCCCGGGTACACCCAGGAAGCAAAGCGCAGCTTCCCCGGAAGTGCCCGCGTGCGTCCCAGACCGGAGAATCGCTGTTCTCTGCAGGCCCCGCCTCCCAGTCTGTTGGAGACCGAGGGTTTGCTCGCCCAGGAGAAGGGGTGCAGGTGGGGGACTCCTCAGCCCCTTCCTTTCTGGAATGGGACGCGAAAGTCAGGCGGGGTGCGGGCCGGGCTGCTAACCTCACTCACGATGTCACCTTGCCTCGGCTGCGTCCTCTGCGCCCTGCAGGCACCGCCTCCAAAGCGGGAGCTCAGCCTCGCCGGCGTGGACTGCGGCGTCCGGCGGCTCTAAAGCGTGCAAAGGTGCGCTCTGGGCGTTTCCTTCTCGGCACCTCAGAAGCTCCGCAGAGAGGGGAGGAGCCCCAGCTCCCGACTTTTAAAGCCCAGAACTTGCTTCAGTAGCAATGGGATGGGAACCTTCCCGACTTCACCTCCTGTCTCTTAATAAACAGGAAAATGAAGTTCAAGCCAGGCGTGGGGGTACACGCCTATAATCTCAGCACTTGGGAGGCTGAGGCAGGAGGGTCCCTGGGAGTTCAAGGCTGACCTGGGCTACGTAGTAAATTAAAGGACAACCTGAACTGCACAGTGAGCCGGGGATAGTGGCGCCTGCCTGTAATCCCAGCACTCAGGAGGCTGAGAAAGGAGAATGACTGGCGAGTTTAAGGCCCGCTTTCGAGAGACAGGAAGAAAATGAAGTTGAAATGCAGGGAGCCGAAAGGCCTCTGTCCTGGAGCAGCATCCAGATGCACGAGGGTGGCCAGGACACTCAGGTCTGGTCACGCGCTTTGAGGAGCTTTGAGCCTCAGCTCAGGTTAACTGGCCCTGGGGGTGAAGGGTCAGGCTCACCTCACCAGCTGCCAGGGCAGCCTTCTCGACGCCCACGCCCTCGAGGCCCCGGACTGGGTCTGAGGGGGGCCTGGCAGTGCTCGGCCCGGCTGCGGGGGTCACCGTTTGTCTCAGCGCCACATGGACAGTGGAACAGAGGGGCAGGCCGGATCAAGGCCGCTGACCACTTATACTCGCCGGGGCATCCAACCTGCTGTCGGCCTGAGGACGGAACCGACTCAGGGACCCACGGACTCATAAACCACGCCAAAGAAGCCCCAGCGACCCAGGCTCCGCACCATTTCGCTGTGTGTTTATTTCAAGTTTACAGAGAAGCTCAATCATCTGTGGAAAAACGTCAAAGGCTTATCTTTCTCGTAAGTTCATGTTCTCAGGAGTGATAAATACACAGTATTTAACTCTGTACACCTGATAGAAGGAAATGCATAGTAGAAAGGATCAGGGAGAGAACAGAAGCATCGGGCACTGGATAGATCACAGAATAGAAAAGGCAGAGTCCACGAAACTGGAGAAAGACGGGAACCAACGACCTTGAGACCGTCCCTAGCACCGTGGAGCAAGTGGACATCCGGGCTCCACCATGGGCAGCGTGGAGCCCTCAGGGGGTGGGTGAGGGTCCCGGGCCAGGCCCTGTCCACCTGCGAAGGTTTCTTCTCACTCCGGAGAAGCCGCAGGTGTCTGCAGCCCCAGGTGCCACAAGGCGCTCAGTAAGGTTTCTGGGGGCCGCTGGCAGCCTGTGGATAAATGGGGCAGGTGGAAAGGGCAAAGAAAGGCAGGTGGAGGGAGGATTTGTGCTTCCTTCAGGCCCCCAGACATGGGCTGCAGGTCACTTCCATCACGTCAGTCCCCAGAAGAGCCAGCCATGGAAGGACATGGCATCCTTTCTGTCCAGCCAGAAAAGCTGCTCCCCACAGCTTTGCCCTTTCGTAGCAGGGCTGGCTTTGTGCTCTAGAAGGGCTGGTGCCAGTGCTTTAGGTACAGCTGCATCTGCTTAAGCTTTCCGTGGGGCTGGGCAGCTCCTCTCCACAGCTTTCTTTGGTGTTTCTTTGTTTAAAAAAGAAAGTTCTCCACGTGGACCTCCCCAACCCACTGCTCCCACAGCTGGGAGCCTCCGGATTGCTGGCCCAAGCCCCAGGGACGTCTCAGATGGAAGCTTCACGGTGGGGAGGGATGGTCGTGTAAACGGGCGTGAGTTTTGCAGCGCTCCGCACGCCACCTCCTCTCCTCAGGGCCAACTCAGCCAGGCCAGAGTCCACACACAGGCTGGGACTGTTGGCTTTCACCAGCAAGGTGCTTATTGTGAACTACCCAAACCCCATCTGCTTGCAGAACGGGTAGAGCTACTGGATCATTTCCCCATAAATTTAAACAGGGAGGGTAAGAGGAAGCACTAGGTTAGGAAGACAAAACAAGCAGGCAAGGCGACCCTCCCCAGACTGTCTTTGCTCTTTGGAACCAGCATGCCCCAATTCTGACTGCTTACATGATAGCAGGGAAGGTCCCACTAAACTACGGTCAAAAGCTGAAGAAAATCTATGGAAGCAAACAACATCCCAGCCCTGTGACTGGCTGGCCAGGGGGCACAGGCCTTGTTTCTGTCGGCAGACAACCTTGAACCAGAGGTCATTGGGCAGAAACTTTGGGAAGAACTCTTCTGAGCCCAAGTACTGAGCAGATCCCCCCAGAGAACTGGGAAGTGGAGGTCAGATCCGCAGTGCAGTCTTCAAAGCTTCCCTCCCCTTGAACACAATCCAAGGGCAGATGTGAAGTCGCACCCCAGCCTCAGGAAACCCCAATACTGGATGGAGGTCAAAAGGATCAACATTTTCTTTCTGGACTTCTGGGTAAGAAGAGAGCATCCAGTGCCAGCTGCCCCTAGGAGTGCTCCGGGTCCCAACAGCCGCCTCTAAAAGGGCATCCTAGTGTCACTGCGTGGCTCCTGCCGAAGCTCATCTGAGCTGGGGATGATCATTAGTGTCTGAGCCAAGGAAGAGGGAAGAGCACCTCTAGGTGGCGCACCAGAAGCTGGATAAAGTGTCTCCTGGCCTACAAACCAGCTAGGACTCCAGGTACAGACAAAACCTCAGCAGTCTCTAGAACACACAGGGTACAAACCAGCCGCGCTGCTGATCTACAGGCGCAGGTCTCCTTGGCTCTGTCTCTGATCGTGTGGCGGAAGCCTGGAAGCTCTGATAACTTCTGAACTTCTGTAGAGTTCAGTCTAGTTAGAGAGTTGAAGGTATTTTTTTTGGTGAATCTTAAGCCATGTAATGTACATGGAAGTGTAGGATTTCACCTGAAGTTTTTGTAACTGAATAAAGAGATTTACTAGCACTTGGCCAATGCCCTTAGGAACCCACTGTGAGCAGATGACGTCAGAAACCTTAGGTCCCCTGGGGAAACCGCCTCTGCCACAGCTGCCCCGCAGATTTCCCCCAGAGAAGCAATTAAACGTCAAGCCCTTTCAGTTTTCCTGACTACATTCTACCCATAAAACATTCAAAAGTCCTTCATGCAAATGAAGTTGCATCAAAGCTCCCTGCAGCTGCGAGCCCAGACCTGGGCCTCGCGGCCAGTGTCCCTTCGAGCCTCCCTCTCCCTTGCCAGTCGCAAGGCCACGCTTATGGCCCGGCCTGCAGGAGCGCTCTGCTTCTTTCTCCACACTGTTCAAACCTCACTCACGTTCGCTTGGTACATCTGACACGGTTCTGAATTCACGATGAAGGATTTGGGGCATAAAAATGTTTTAAAAAGCAATTGTCCCAGAATGCACAGGGGTTTGGGTCTGTAGCTCCTTACACCGCCAGTCCAGCCAGCCGGTGGCCAAGGTCAACTTCACGGAGTCAAGTCCTGGTATTTTGTCCCCTTTAAGACAACAAAGGAAAAAGACAAAGCAAAGAACCAGAGATGGCGGCCAAGGCTCTGCACGCGTGCTCGGTTTCCGTAGGACATGCTGCTATGGAAACTCGGAGCAGCAGCCCGCATGCGAGGTCAGCGGTCCAGCAGCTACTCCAGGTCCATCGCCTCCTCGGGCTGCAGTGGATGCATGCGAGCAGGGGAGCCGGTGGCCGCAGCCCCCCGACTCTCGGCGCAGGGCCCACCTTTCACACGAGCACTTCCTCCTCCCCCGCGGGGGCCAGGTCGGGACCCAGAGGGCCGTCTTCGCTGCTTTGCTTCCTGCTCAGCGAACAGAAAACCAGCATTAAGGCTTGGTCTAGAAAGGACGGCAGGGCCCGACCCATCTCCCACTTTGGGCACCCTGCACCCAGGACGTGACAATGGCTTCCCGGTGCTGGGCTGGGAATGCAGCTCAGCAGTGCGGCATCTGCCTGGCAAGTGTGCGTCCCTGAGCTTCATTCCCAGTACCAAAAACAAAAAAGCGTTATCGTAGACAGCTGAGTTAGGCAGAAATAGTACAGGCAGATAGAGCTAGGCCTCGAGAGTCAGGACAAAGGTGAAACACATCACAACCATGGCCGGAGACACATCTGTTGGAGACCAGGCCTCAAGATAAAGACAAAACAACCCGGCCTGCACACTTCCTCAAAGGACAAACACTCGACATCAGTCACCCTGGTGGGTGACCAAGACCTCTGGACCCACCACTTCCTAGAAAAAAATCTTTGTTCTTTCATGCATACTTGTTACGTGACTTGTTCCCCCACTGGATCACTATTACCTAAGCAGCTATACTTGTAACCTTATTGCTTGTTCATAGCTTTACCCCACATTGTACCCACATGGTTTAGCTTTATAAAACTTCCTCTGAAAACTGGGGTCCTTGGCTACCCATTTGGGACCCCTCCTGCCTCTCAGGAGCCATCCTCTCAATGAGCATTTCCTACTCTTAACCTCTGTCGTTCCCAGAAATCATTATTCTATTATTTGGTTTTTCTTTTTTGGTGGTACTGGGGATCGAACTCAGGACCTTGCACTTCTGAGGCAGGTGGTGGAACCAGTGAGCTAAATCCCTGCACCTTCATTCTTCGATTTCAGAGACCATGAGCTCGAGCTCGGTGTGTCAGACCACTAAGAGGTGGGAATTGTGGTCCCTATCTCCTTGCAGCACGTGGAGGTCCTATTTCATCCCCTGTATCATCCCTGTGTCACTTTCTGAACCTCTCTCCCTTTTTTCGTGCTCACGTGAATCCCTCCAAGGAGGCTTTCCATCGCCTCTGTCCAGGGGGAGCAGCATTTACCAAAAATAGCAAGGAACCATGAGACAGGCAAAGCTGTCCCCGCAATACTGGAAACCACTGCGGGTCACGAGAAGGTGGTGAGGGTCCGGAGTCCCAGCTTCCCTTCCCCTTCGGACTGTACGCCCTTCGGGGCAGGAGGGTGACAGCACCATCAGTGTCCCCAGTGAGCTCTGCGGGTGGCGGTGGCAGTGGCAGGGCCTTCCCAGTTGACCCTGGCACCCAGTGACCTTCGGGAGCCCTCTCTAAGCACCAGCCCGGCCCGGCCCTGCTCCGGGAAGAGCCCTGGAGGGATGAGATGAGGGAGGATGAGCCACTCTGCCCCTGAAGAGCCTCCCCTCTCTGGAGCTGCCTGGGGTGACAGCTGCTTGGGAGATGGGTGGGGGACTCTCTAAGGAGGGACCCAAGCCCCTCCCCAGCCTCAAGCAGTCTGTCTTAGTCTGTCACTTGGCCACTGGCCACCGTTCCCAACCATAACCTCCACGTCCCTGTCCCTACACAGGGGCAGAGGAATCAGCCTGTCTGTGCAGCTTGAGGAAGAAACACCCCTCTGTCTGAAAAAATCACACTCACTGGCTTCTTACGTTTCTGATGAAGAACAAGGGTAAAGGCCTCAAGGAGGAGAGCGCTGTGACCAGAAGTCAAGACAGCAGGCCTTGAGACAGAGGCCCCAGGACCAGCCAAGCTCTCTGGGCTCCTGGACCCAGCCTGGTCCCCACCAGGGACCAACCCTGGTGTTGCTGGGTCCACAGGGTTTGCAGTTTTGATCTCACTGAAAATAAGAAAGAAACACGCACCAGGCTTGCCCACCGCCAGGAGGCAGCCCAGGTTCCGGCAGGCCCTGACAGGGAGAGGAAGAGGCGCTGGGCCAAGGAAAGGAGAGCCCACTAGGCTCCCTCACTCTGTCACCTGGGCAGGCTCGAACCTGGTCATCGGCTACTGAGACGAGGTCTGGGGACAAGGTGGTGACCAGGCGGCTTTCAGAGGCTGCTGAGACTGGACCTGATGGCTACTGCTAGCAGCTTCCTGCTCTGCTCCAGAACCAGGCTTCTCTCAAAAGCAGGAACAGGGCCGGGGAGTTAGCTCAGTGGTTTCACCGCCTGCCTCGAAAGGGCAAGGACCCGAGTTCGATCCCCAGTACCAAAAAAAAAAAAAAAAAAGCAGGAACAGTTCTCAAACAGCTCCTAGATGACCAGATCAGCCTCTGGCTCGTAGGGACAGGTGGCCAATGAATTTCCTAATGAAATTAGCCAACTCCTAATGAATACAAATGGCTTCCACCTGTATACAAATGTTCAACACAACATTCATTTTCGACAGCCGAAGAGTAGAAAGGACGTCCATCAGTGGATAAATGGATAAAGAAGTCGGAGCCCACCCACAGAATGGAATATTACTTGGTCATAAAAAGGAACAAAGCACTGCTACATGTTGCACCATGGGAGAACATTAAAAACATGATGCTAGGGCCGGGGATTTAGCTCAGTGGTTCCAGTGCCTGCCTCGAAAGCCCAAGGTCACGAGTTCGATCCCCGGTACCCCCCCCCCAAAAACAAACAAAAAACCATGATGCTCAGTGAAAGAAGCCAGGGACACAAGGCCACATACTGGATGGGTTCATTTATAAGCAATGTCCAGAACGGGAAAAATCCATGAAAAACTGAAAGTAGGTTAGTGGGCACTGCGGAATGAAGGAGTTGGGTAGGGATAGCTCAGAGATGTAGGATTTCTTGGGCTGATGAAACTGTTCCAAAACTGATTGTGGTGCTGGCTGCATAACTCTGTCAACATTAAAAGCCGTTGAATTGCACACTAACTGGGTACTCTCTATGGTACATGAATTATCTATCAGTACAGCTAACGGAGGAGTGCTGGGAATTGAACCCAGGGTCTCATGCATGCTGGGCAAGTGCTCTACCACTGAGCTCTAACCCCACCTCTCAATACAGCTTTTAAAATTTCTGTTTATTTACTTCAGTTTTTTGAGACAGGGTCTCACTATGCAGTTCAGGCTGACCCTGAACTCACTATGTAGCTGTGGCTGGCCTCAAATTTGTGATCCTCTTGCTTCAGCCTCCCCAGCGCTGAGATTACAGGCATGTGTCACCACACCCAGCTAATAAAGCTGTTTTTAACAACAGAAATGATTGCCTGGAGCTCCCAGCGGGACCCAGGCAGCCATGATGTCCAGAAAGCACGACTGTTACATCTCCACCCTGTGGGTGCTTCAGGGACAAGTGGGAGCATGGCTGCCAACCAGGAGTTGCTGGTGAGGCCCTAGATGAGGAAGAATGACCGAGAAGGAAAGAAGAGGTCTCCATCTGCTCAGATCGGAGGACCTTACTCCACCTTGCCGGCAGCAGGGCCCTCACTTTCTAGATCTGAACAAAGGTGGGTGCTGGGGAGCCCTGGGGAAGGGCATAGAGCGTGCAGGCGCAGCGGACGGGCAGCCCCAGGCCCGCAGCGCCCCCAGCGTGCACTGAGGCCGGGCCCTGGGGGAGTTCACAGGCATTCCGGTGGAGCGCCATGCACCGCAGCCCCAGCCCGCATGCACGGCTGCCACCGGGCCCAAGCCCCTGGGCCCCTCGTTCTGAGGCGGGAACTGGAGGCTCCCGGCGCCCGGCGGGAAGGACGGCACCTGGGTGGAGATGCCCCGTGCTCGACAGCGCCCGCCCCCGGCCCCCGCAGAGGCTATGGCACAGGCAGGCAGGCGTTACCTTGGGCTCAGACAGGGGCTCCCACTCCCTGGGTGGTTTTTTGCTGGAATTGCCAGAGGAAGGGAAAAGGGAAGTGAGAAAGGACTTGGGGTGTGTGGGGTGCCCACCCCTCCCGAGGCCGGCAGACTCCAACTTGAGCTTCAGAGCCGGGGCGAGAGGCCTTCGCAGGTGGCTGCGCGACGCCTCCGCCATGACACCGCTCACCCCACACAGGGTCCGGAAGCCCCCCCGTGAGCACCCCGGCTCCCGGGCCTGAGGGCCGACTGCAGAAGCCCGGATCCAGCGACTATGGATTACCCCCACGTGCCGGGCAGGTCTGGGGCGCCAGCGGTTCCGGAGGAAGGCAGGGGACGCTCACCTGAGCAGGTTCCCGGGGGCCGACAGCGAGCGCTCCTCCCGCCGGCTGCCCTCGAAGGGGTTCCCGAAGGAGCGCTTCCGGATCATGGTCTTGACCAGGATCTGAGCGGGACAGGAAGAGGCAGGTGACTACTCGGCCGCGCCTGGGACTCTTTCTTCCCCCACCCCCACCCACCGCCAACCCCCAGGGCACAGGGCAGGCGCAGGGCCTGAAGGGAAAGCGTGCCGGCTGACGCCTTCTGCCCAGGAGACCCTGGCCGAGCCATCCCAGATCTGCCGTCTGCCCCCTGCTCCCAGATCCCAAGTTCAAGCGCAGCAGGCTCCCTGGTCTGACCTTCAAGGCCTGTCATAATGAGGCCAGGCCGACCCAACAACCCCCACGGTCTGGCTCTGGGCCCCAGGACAGCGGCCTGTATGTCCCTGGCTGCACCTGCCACCAGTTGTCCCTTATGAGCCTTCCTAGTGGGCACTCCCAGCCTATCCACCCGTCTGTCTTCAAGGCCAGGCCCTCCTTTCAGTGAGAGCTGCCAGAGACCCCTCACCCCACCGAGGGACAAAGCTCTGCTTCCCTGATGATTCTGGGGCGGGGACTGCTTTAAGACAGACACCATTCACATCCTGTAAACCCCCTTTTGCAGGACACCCGCCCCTCGGGACGGCGGAGATCGCTTCCCACAGCCCTCCGTGGGCACCAAAACCTGTGGGGTGGACAGCTGCTGTGCGTGCTGTGCCATGCGGGATTAATGACAGGAAGGAGTCTGCGTATTCTGCAGAGATGCGGTTTTCTTTTTCGCAAGTGTTTTCCATCTGCAGCTGGCTACTGTGTACAACTACTGGCTACTGCATACAGTCAACTGCATACAACTCTGTTTTGTACTACGTTCACCGTTACCTAATTTCAGGACATTTTACACTACCCCAAAAGAAACCCATACTTGTTAGCAGCCACTCCCTCCTCTGCTCCCTGGAAACAGTCATCTTTCTGCTTGTAGAGATTTACCTACTCTGGACATTTCCTACAAATGGAACCCTACAAGACATGGCCTTTTGTGCCCAGCTTCTTTCACCTCCCCTCATGTTTCCAAGATTCATCCATGGGGGACTCTGTGGCAGCACTCCATTCATGTTCATGGCCCAGTAATATTCCTTTGTATGGCTGGACCACACTGTGCTTAACCATCATCCACCGGCAGACATGCGCTTCTTTCCGCTTTTTGAAAGATGTGAATACTGCTGCTACAAATGTATTCACACTCAGACTTTTATGGGAACACATTTTCTACACAAAATGATTTCATTTCTCTTAGGTGTGTAGTAAGAGCAGAATTTCCTGACCTTATAATAACTCTGTCTAACATTCTGAGGAGCCACCAGACTATTTGCTGAGCCATTTTACATTCCCCCAGCAGCCTAATGGCAGCAGTTCCTCAGGGGGCTGCATTTCAGTGGAGGCTGGAAACATCCCAGGTTACTGTTTTTCTTTTTCTTCTTTTGGTTCCAGGGATTGAACTCGGGACCTTGTACTTACAAGGCAGGCGCCAGAACCACTGAGCTAAATTCCCAGCCCACATCCCAGGTTACTGAGCACAGGCAGTGCACAGGCTGGTGTGGGATAAGGACCTGAGGCCCAGGGCTTCTAGAAGGTTCCTCCAAGTCTGAAAGGCACCGAGGCCTGGCCTTGTCCACTGGCTGGAGCAAAACTTGCCGTGCCCACTGCCTCTCCCACTCTACCTGGCTGGCCTGGCCTGTCTGAGAGGCTCCTTGAGACAAGGCACTCGCCTCCACCCATCAGCCACTGCTCAGCATCCGGCTCTGCCTCCTCCCTCCCACAACCTGTGTCATCCTTCCTGAACCCCCTCTGATCCCCTCACCCACAGGACTCTGGGACTCAGCCCGTTGCCAGCCAGGGAGCCCTGGAAAGTTCTGGAGCAAGGGAGGAAACAACTGCCCCCCAGAAATGGTGCGTTCTGTGAAGGAAACATCAGAAGGGGGCATCACTGAGAAGTCAGGTTCAGGCCCTCAAGCTGCCTTCAACCAGAGCACACTGCCTCCTCCAGTGACTTCTGATTTTTTAATGGCTTTACTGCTAAGAAGAAAAACAAGTATTTAAAAAGCACTGATTCAGCAAAAGGTAGAAACACCCAAATGTCCACTAACTGAAGAAAGGCAGAAAATGAGGCCTATCCATATGATGGAGTATTACTTAGTCATAAAAAGGAATGGAGTGCTGGACACAGGCTACGACATGATGAACCTTAAAAACATCTTGCTAAGTGAAGAGGTCAGACCCAGAAGCCTCACAGTTGTGTGATTCTACTGATATGAAGTGTTCAGAACGAGCAATCTGTAGGCAGGAGGTAAGAGAAGAAAGGGAGGGGAAGTGATTGCTCGTGTAAGAGGTCATTTTTAGTTTCTTCCTCGCCTTTCTTTCCTTTCTTCTTTTTGTCCTTTCCGTGTGTGTGTGTGTGTGTGTGTATGTGTATGTGTGGTACTAGGGATTAAATCCAGCTGTTGCACTGAGCTACAACCTCAGCCCATTTTTTATGTTTCATTCTGAGACAGGGTCTCACTAAGTCACTAAGTAGCCCAAACTTGAAATCCTCCTGCTTCAGCCTCCTGTGTAGCTGGGATCAGAGACATGGGCCACCACACCCAATAAGGATTTCTCCTGAAGTGAGAAAAATATGAGAACCATCAAGGTGATAATTGTGTAAGACCTGGAATGTCCTAAATACCCTGAATTTGGCTCATTTGATGTTACCTGCATTCTACCTCCATAAATAGCAGGAAAAGCGCCACTTGGAAATCAAAGGCTGTGTCCCCAGCAAGGCTCTCACTTGCAGCCCAGCAGACCCTGCCACAGCAGCCCCTTCCCCATGCACTTGGTGGTGTTATCCCCTGGAGAGGTGGCCCTGCCCCTCCCCAGACACCTGGTCCCACTTCTTCCCTCTGGCCCATCTTTCTCACGAGGCTGGGAGACCCCAGGAGCTGGCCCTGGACCTTGCTCCTCTCTGTATCCTCGAGCCTGGCACGGGATGTGTAGCAGACACCTCTGCCCAGTATTAGTAGGCTACAGTGGCACAAGCTTCTGGCTCCTCCATAATTCGGCTGTGTTACACTGGAAGTAGCAGAGCTTGGCTGAGTTCATCTCCAGCCAAGGTCAACTTGGCTCCAACTAAATTCTTCCCTCTGAATTAGCCGTTTGTTCTCTTCAGCAAAGATATGCTTGTGTCTTTACTCTCCAGTCCCGCCTGCTGGATCCTTGTTATCAGCAGGTGTCCCAGGCTGGCCAGCTCCCCCTTCCCACGCTTGTAATACACATTGGGTGTCCTGGGAAGCCTTTGTCTTTGCTGCCCAGAGCGGCTTGGATCAGCCCAAGGCTCAGTTTCTCTCAATCTCTGTCTGTGTGCTTTTTCTCTTTCCCACTTTCCTATCTCGCTGACCCTGTGCTGGCTCACAAGAGACCAGGACACCTGCAGGGGTCTCTGGCAACGTCTCCTGTCCCCTTCCCCTTTCCCCATAGGATGGGCCTCCACAAGCATTTGCTGCAGACAAACCCATCAAACCCACAGAGAGGGCCGGACCTTGTCATTCCCAACGGGGACCACAGCCCTCAAGACCCTGCAGAAACTTCTCCCGAGCTGGCTCAAGATTGAAATCTGTGTTGCATCTCTCTCCCCCACCTTGCTTGCCTCAGTGGTCCTGTCTTTCTGGAAGCTTCTGCTGGCCCAGCTCCCTCCCACTTCAGGACAATGCCCATGCTGTCCCCCCCCCACTCCCTGGTGCACAGGCCCTTATTCCATGAAGCCATCCACAATCGCACACCTGCCAGGGACACCACTGTGTTCAAGAAGTGTTTTCGAATGACAAATGCCACTCCATTCCCCAAGAATCTGCAGAGGGAGGAGACTGAGCTGGAGTGACCGGAGCTGGACGTCTGTCACAGTGAGGGTCAGCACAGAGGCCCCGTGGGGGAGGATGAGGCCTGGATCAGTGCCTGCCCTGGGGCTCGGGTTTTGGAAGAGAGAACAGTGTGCGAAGCAGGAGGAAGCAGTGCAAAGCGGGAAGAGAAGGGCCAGCATCTGGGCTCCCCAAGTCCCCTCGAGGCTGGCCACTGTCTTTACAGGCTCTCTTGGGTCCCCCGGAGCCCCGCACCCACCTGCCTGGCTGCTGTGGCCGGCACTGGCCAAATACAACCCAGGCCTTCAAGGTGGCCTAGCGGACAGCCGCCTGGACCCTGGTCCCTGCGCTCCTAGCTCCCTCCTAGAGCCAGACGCCCTCTGGGCAAATCCTACAGTCTCCAAGGTCATGCCTGATTCTCCACATTCTGGTTCCTTCTTCCTGGGGGCCAAACGGGTGTCCCAGTGGCTCCCAAGCCAAATCTCACCCTCAGAGGTCAGGAAAACCTGCCTGGTGTCACAAGGGAGCCCCTGCCCAGCCCAGTGACTGGCCCCAGGCAGACCTTACTCAGTGCCAGCTGCCTGGGGACAAAGATCCAGGGCCTGGGAACCTCAGCTGGGCCATCCCCACCTCCTGCCTGGTCTTCCTCCTCCTGGATCCTCTCCCTAGACCTGCTCCAGAAGCAAGGATCCCAGGAGGGGCAGCACAGTCCTTGAAGGGGGCGGCTCTTCTCTAGGGACACACAGCAACCACAAGGGCCACCAGGCCTGATCTGGGACCAAAGCCCAGGGCCAGTGGCTGTGGTGAGGGGCAGCGCTGGCCATCTCCTGACTCTTGGGCCCCCGTGTGCCTCCCAGGGCTCCGTCCTCCTGGGTCCTAGCCCTGTCCTCACTGGGCCTGCCTTGGGCTCTCTGTCCCTGCTCTCATCCCGCCTTACCACGGTCGCCAGGCTGGGGATGTGTTTGACTGAATTCTCGACCTCCTCTTCGGTCACCTCGACCAGTGTGCAGTTCTCATCCTCCGATGGCAGTGGCTCCGCACCGTGCCTCGTGACCCAGGGGTGCAGCTTCAACAAATGACAGGAGGGGTGAGGGGCACGTGCAGCTGGCTCCGGGCAGGGCATGCAGGAGGGAGTAGGTGGGCCAGGCATGCAGAAGAGCTGGCCGCTAGGCAGAGGGCAGGCTGTGCTGGAGGGAAGTGTGGAAAAGCCAGACAGGACAGGAGGAACGACAGGGCTGAGATGGTGTGGGCCAGTTCTACTGGCCCAGGTCCTGGCAGAAGTGACCAGAATTTTGCATCAGCCTTGCCTTGCTGCCCAAGGGGACCCATCAGCCCTCAGCAACTCTCCCTGACACACAGAGGGCCTGGCTCACAGCAGGCAACTTCTCCCCTTTTCGGGCGGGAGGCACAATGAGACCAGCAGGAAGGACACAATCCGGAGAGGACCCAGCCAGCACCTCCCCCCACTCCCTTCCCTGGCCCTGAGTCCCCATCTGTGGCCTTTCAGGACTCAAGCACATCTCAAGATTTCTCAAGGGGCCAGGCACGTGCATGTGGCGTGGGGGTCAGGGGTCTCTCCAAAAAGTGCTTCCTGCAACAAGGTGGCACCCAGCAGAGATGCTCTGCTTCCACCTGGTTGACTGTAGTTTCCCGAAGGGCCGCATCTCTGACAACCGGGTCAAGGAAAGGACCCAGCTGTTGAGTACCCAGAGGTCTCAGGCGGGATCGGCCCGCACAGGGTTGACGAGATGCAACCCTAAATCTTCTCCCACCCCTTGTCAGCCCCCGGACATGGAGGGCAGTGGTGTCACTCTGGGCCAGGGCAGGTCTTGGCTGCACCAGGGTCGAGCCAAACAACCCCAAGCACAGGATGCAGGCAAACCTCAGGGCTCAGCCACTGCAGCCAATGGCAGCCCCTGGGTACCTTGATTTCGGGCACCACAATCCTCGACTCGGGGTTCTTCTCCAACATACGGGTGATCAGGTCCTTCAGATCCTCAGCTATGTCAGGCCTGAGGTAGGAGACACGGTGTGAGAGGGAGACAAGACGCCAGGACTGCCACAGTCAGAGAGGGAGGTGACAGCATGGGGCAGACAGTACTCACTGGTCTGGGAACTCCAGGGCCTGACTCTTGATTTTACTGTGCAGGCACATGATCCGCTCGTCCATGAACGGGCACTGGGAAGACAAGAGCATGGCCTCTGGCCCCGTCACAGGCCACCTGTGCTACGCCACCCCACAGGACAATGGCAGAGACCTGGACTACCCTGGCTCCACCTGGGGAGGGAGCAGGTCCCATCCCCCTAAGTTCCAGAAGGACCAGGAAGGTTCTAGAAGGGCTAGAACCCTTCCCAAGTACAACACTGAAACCCCAACACTGTAAGCTGCTACCTTTCCACCCACCTGCCAGGAAGCAACAAAAACATCAAAATCGCCCTAGGCCTTGCAGCAGGGGCAGTGAAGGTGAGGGCTCAGCCTGGCCCACGTGCCACACAGAGGCTTTCTGTGACCAGCATGTCACCCTCGGCCCCTCCCCGGGACGATCCTCCCACTGCAGCATGAAGGCTTGTTCTCTCTGGCCATGCAGCTGTCTGACCAAAGCTTCCCCAGGGAAGCCTTCCCAAAGCCACATGAAAAGTCCCCATCCCTGCCCCCACGTCACTGCCCATCACAGCAATGGCTGTAGCACCACTGTGGACAGAGGTCTCCCCAAAAAGCGCTACCGTCCTTGTCCCTAACATTGTGTCTATCTGCTGACTGTTCAACTCCGCTGGAACATCTGCTCCAGGAGGACAAGGGATTTGCTTCTGTCTTGCTCTCTGTGGGCTCCCCAGTGCCTAGAAATATTCCTAACTCAAAGGAGGGGCCAGTAAATATCTGATGAATTGATGATGGCCTGAATTATCTCCACACATCCGCTCAGAAGCCTTAAGAACAGCAGGTAAAGGGCGTAGGGCAGGGATGTGGCTCAGTGGTACCACATGTGCCAGGCCAAGCACCCAAAAGGGTAACTATAAGAGCACCCTCATCTTGCTGAAGAGAAGAAATCAGTTCAGAGAGGCAATGCATCCTAGAAAGGACAAACAGGATTTACACCTTGCCAGGCCAAACTCCAGCGCCTGCGCTGTGCACCGTGTGCTGGGTGACAAATCAACTTGACATGCTCACCCGGCCACAGGCCTGAGCCAGGAGGACCTGGACTGAGTGTGCTGGAGAAAAGGGACTCATCCGGGCCAGTGGAGAAGGTGGCCCACTCCTGCCCAAGGACGACGACCAGCAGGGGCCTGCGCTGGGTGGCACAAGGGCAAGCCCCAGACAGAGCTCGAAGGAAAACAACTCTTAGCAGCTGCACATCTCATCGAAGGCAAACTTAATCCCCAAAGAAAAAAAGGACCACAGATATATCCCAAATTCTAGCTAATAACTGCATTCTGAAGCCCTTGGGAGAGTGAAGACCTTGGCGACTTACTCTGCAATATATTAAAAAGTAAGATGGTTGGGGGACAAGACCCCCAAGATAAAGCAGGTACCGTGAAACGCTTGGTCGAATTCACATGGCAGGGTCATGAGTGTTACCATTCCCTCAACTTTGCTGTATGACTGAAGAACACTCTAAACAAATGTTGGGGGGAAGAGCTACAAACTCCTTTTTGGGGAACGAGGACTGCACCCAGGGCCTTTACTCTACCTGTTTTAAAATTTTTTTATTTTGAAGCCAGGCATGGTGGCACACACCTGTAACCCAGCAGTGGGGGGCTGAAGCAGGGGGATTACCACAAGTTTGAGGCCAGCCTGAACTACACAGGGAGAACCTGTCTCAAAGAAAAAAGTTTTTTTAAAATTTTGAAACAAGGTGTCACTAGGTCACTAAATTGCCCAGTTTTGGCTTGAATTTGTAACCCTCCTGCTTCAGCCTCCCACAGTGCTGAGATTACTGGCGTGTACCACCACTGCTGGCCAGACTCCTTTACTTTTTTTTTTTTTTCTGGTACTCAGGACCTTGTGCTTGTAAGGCAGGTACACCACCACTGAACTACATCCCGGCCCTAAACTCCCTTACTTTTGGATGGAGCCAGATTCCTAAGCTTTTTTCAGCAGAAGCATAAACTTATAAAAAGGGAAAAATTCATACTCCTGCTGCTTGGAGAATCAAAGTGCACAGTTAAAAAGAAAAGACTCTAGCCAGATTTAGCAAATGCCTGCAAACCGATCTACTCAGGAGGATCACAAGTTTGAGGCCAGCCTGGGCAGTTTAGTGAGAGCTTGTCCCCAAATAAAGAAATAAAAAGGGATATGCCTAATAGTTTCTGTAGTGTGAGAAACTGAAAGTGTAAATAAGGACTAAAAGGTATAATAGATAATGTGAAATAAGAAGAAAAGGGGTAAAGGGGAAGGGGAAGTGGGAGGGGTAGGGGAAAGAAAAGAAGGGAATGGAATTAATATGACAAAATGAAAAAATGGAAACAAAGTCTTTGTAAATAGGGAGGGATGGAGGGGTTGAAGGGAGGGCAGGGAAACGGGGAAAAATAACCAAGAGAGATTATGTATAGGTGCAAATTTCCAACGATGAATGTCATTATATTGTATACCCAAAATGTGCCAATGAAATTATATTTAAAAAAATAAAATAAAAAGGGCTGGGGTGTAGCTCAGTGATCCCTGGGCTCAAACCCCAGTATAGAAAAGGGGAGGGGGGGGCCCATAAACAACAATATTGAAACAATAACAGCAAAATAACCACAACAAAATAACAGAACAGTACACCCTAAACCAATAATACCAAATGGGTTTTTGGAGCTGGGCATTTAGCTCAGTGGTTCTGCTGCCTCACTTATAAGTGGAAGGTCCTGAGTTCGATCCCCGGTACCAAAAAAAAAAAAAAAAAAACCAAATGGGCTTTAATTCCCATTACACTTCTATCCCTGACAACAGCATCTAGGAACACTGATGAAAAGAACATCAGGGGCTGGGGATTTAGCTCAGTGGTTCTGGTGCCTGCCTTGAAACCACAAGGTCCTGAGTTCAATCCCCACTACCAAAAAAAAAAGAAAAGAACATCAGGCAGTATCTGGCTAAATTATTGATTAGTGATGTCTGTCTCAGGCTTGGCAGGTAAGAGAACAGCTATTGATTAGTGATGTCTGTCTCGGGCTCAGAAGTGGGAGACATGTCACATTTATTGCCCTTGCCCTCAACTCACTGTCTACAAACTCCACAGTCTCTGCCAGTCTTTCTATTTCACCAGACCTTTTTCAGATAAGAATATTATACACAGTTATGTATATTTATGAAGGAAATACAATACAATGTGGAACTTTCAAATGAGTAAGTACTGTCTGCGAGCATTAACCCAGGGGGTCACATAGGAGTTAGGACACCCCACCCTCTTACCTGGCCAAAGACAAAGCAGTACAGCGTCACACCCATGGCCCACACATCCAAGGCCTGCAGGAGAAAGACAGCTTAGCATGAGAGGCAGGGCCAGGAAAGGGCATCTCCAGCCTTCCTCTGGGACCACCTCTTCTTGACCCCCAAGCCATGCAGTCGGGGTGGGGCTGCTCCTGTCCCCAAGCCTCCTTGGTGGGCATGTGACCCAGGCCTGGCCAATAAGAGCACCACTTTCCCCAGCCAGCCCTAGGGATTTTGCTATTGCTATTCAGAAACAGAGCTGCTTGTGATTACTGAGGTTGTCTTTAAACTGACGGAAGATAGCCTGGAGGTGCTGGTGACTGGCTACTAAGGAAATCAATTCAGGAAATTAGGTTAAAGATGGGGGTATGGACAATGGGGAGAGGCAGATCCCTGTTTGGGTCCCCATATATGACCACACCTAAAGCCAAAGGTACCTCCTCCCCAGCTATGGGACCCAGTGGATTTTCTGTTTAAACCTGTTTGAGTTGGATTTTTTGTTGTTGTTTTTTTTGGTACCAGGGATTGAACTCAGGACCTTGCACTTGCGAGGCAGGCACTGGAACCACTGAGCTAAAACCCCGGCTGAGTTGGGTTTTTGCAGAAGTAACACAGGCAGAATCCAGCAGCTCAACAGGTCCAAACCCACCTTCCCAGAGAAGATCTTGCAGGTCTCCGAGAGTGACTCGGGCGCCATGAAGGCGGGCGTGCCCACGGTGTTGGACAGGAGAGCATCATTGCCCTTGAACTCATTGCTGACGCCAAAGTCGGCGATCTTGATGTGGCCGTCATCTCCCACCAGCAGGTTGGAGGGCTTGATGTCTCGGTGGATTATCTTCTGGTAGTGCACTGTGGTGGGGCGGACACCAGTAGAAGAGACAGGCCAGGCCATGAGGGTCCTCATGGAGCTACGTGGCCCGGACACAGCACGGCACCCTGGCGCCTTGTGCCCCGCAGCCTTGACCCCTTCTCAAGCTTCCCCTCCCATACCTGCCGGGCACCGTATGCTCTGAAAGGTGAGGGGAGAGAGTGTCTTCCAGAAGTCCCCCATTCCCCAAACACTGACTGGCAGCAGAAATCCGCCTGTTTCAGCTAAGTCCGGGTGACAGCACATGGAAGTCTGCTGAGTGTGTCCCCCAGCTCCTGGCTGTCAAACGCGGTCTCATTTACCAAAACCCAGCACTCATCTTGTCCACCAAAACAGCAGTGCTCAGGGCAAGTGGACCGGAGGCATGGCCCACAAACCAAACAGGGTCATGGCTGTCTGTGCCTGGCTGGATGTCAGCTGATGGCAGGGGACAATGCTGTGGTCTGAAAGCCCTAGCTGTGTTTTGGGGGTGACAGTGATGAAGATGATGGTTTCAGTACTGGGAACAGTGGCTCACACTGTCGAGCACCTAGTCCACCAGGGCCTAAACCCCATGTGAAGTGTTTCACATTCACCCCAATGAAACCCCACCCAGATCCCACTCGACAGGCAGGGACAAGGGTCAGGTTCCCAATGATACCGCCAGTTAGAACCACTGTGTCCTGGCAGACCTCAGCCCTGGTGAGAGATGCTCTCCCTCTCTCAGAGGGGTTAACAGGATCTCTCGGAAGTGGGGGCCCTTGTGGTCCTGCCCAGTTCCCACTTTCCCTGCTTCTAATTTCTCTGTGACAGGAGGGAGGGTTTCTGTTGGCCCAGAGCACAGCCCAAGCTGCCCCCTCCAGTTCCATTTCCCTGGCTTGCACCCCAGCCTCAATGCTAAGGAGCCTTGCTTACGGTACTCGATGCCTTTGATCAGATCCTGGAAGTAGAAGCGGGCCTGGTCCTCAGAGAGTGGCTTGAGGGTGGGCACTTCCATCACAGGCCTGCCAGGGGACGCTCAGTGAGCCACACGCCAGCCCCCAGGCCCTGGCCCTCTCCCAAAGAGCCTGGCTCACCGCCTCTCCCCCTCTCTCTCCCGGCCGGTGTCACACTTACCCCTGGTTGACCAGTTCAAACACTGCAGGGAGAGAAACAGTTACATTAGGAAACTGCAAAGCCATCTCCTCCCATCTTCCCTATCTCTCAGTTGAGCAGCCGGGTAATGAGAGAAACGGCTGGCCTGGGAGCCAGAGCTGCTCAAGGCTCTCTGTGCTAAGTTCCCGCCAGGGGCAAAGGACCGGAAATGTCAGGCCCCAGCCGGCTGGACTTTTGGGACTCAGAATACCCAAGGCCCTGAAAGCAGGGAAAACGAGGCAGAGGAAGGCAGTGGGCAGGGCCGACTCATCCACCACCTGTGCTGCAGGGTTGCAGGGATGCAGATGGGGCTAAACTGGGTCCCCTGTCCTCCAGCTCCTCAGCAACATGTCCCCAAGTGAGGGCAGAGCTGCAGCTGCCTTGAGGTGGGATTGGAACTCTGGCCTTTCCTGCCGTGGTTACTGACATCCTGACCCACAAGCTGCATGGATTTCTGCACCTCCAGCCCCACTGCCAGGCACCAGAAGCCGGCTGCCCTAAGGAAGCTGCCCTGGGGACACTTTAGCCAGCTTGGCTACTCTTGGGGTCAAGTGTGGGTGGGAACTGTTTTTCTGCCACTGAGCTACATCTCCACCTTATTTGGCTTTTTCATTTCTCTTTTTTTTTTTTTTTTTTGCATCAGGGTCTCATTAAGTTGCTAAGTTGCCCAGGCTGGGCTGGAACTCGCAATCCTCCTGCCTCACCCTCCCTGAGAGCTGGGATTACAGGCATCCGCAATACCAGCTGAATGTTTTTAGACTCTAGAAATAGCATTGGAGTTTTCTTCCCTGTGAGAGTCAGGCCTGTGGTTCAGGGCCCTTCCTGATGTCTGCTGCCTCGCCTGTCTGTCATCAGCACACCGGCTATGGCTAGAAAGTGAAAAATAACCACATGGGGCCTCCACCCGACCAAGATCCAGCCCTGCAGAGAGCATGGCCACCCCAGGGAGTGAGAAATTATGGCCCAGGATGCTGCATGGCTCCAATAGCTCAGGAAATTCTTCTCTGATGCTTAGGCCATTCCTCATTCCAAAACCCCTAATGGCACCCATCTGGCTCCAAGTCAAAGCCAGATTCTACAATGGCGTAAAATGCCCTCTGCCACCTGGTCCCCCATCCTGCCAAAGTGTCACCTCAGTGAGACATTCCCTGAGAGGCCTCACACTCAGTGCTCCCCACCTCACACTCGAGGTGACTTTCTCGGAGAGCTGTCCCCTTCAGAGGCTCGGGTGAGGTCCCGGAGGATGGTGCCCCCTGAGTGTGTCATAAGATTGGGCCTGAGGCTGTGAGAGGCTACAAGACTGCTGAACACTCAAACAAGCAGCCTGCGCAGAGACAGCCCGGAGCCATTCGGAGTTGAATCTGAGAAAATTATGCTGGGCTGCCATGCTGGGCCAATGTGATTTCTGTTCTATTTCTTCAATCATTTACCTATTATGCTTACAACTTGACTATATTTATATACCATGGAAACCAGCTAAATTATTATTTTCTTTAAATCAACTCAATTTCTAATTTTTTAGCACTGTCCTAGGTAATAACAGACATCAAACTGTTTAGTTACTGGTTGTAGATTTTTATATAAAATGTTTAATGCAAAGAAAATTTTCCACTGAGTTCAATCCCTTGTACCAAAAAAAAACCAAGGAAAATTTTCCAAATTGTTTTCCAATCACCACCCCAAATTGTCTCATATACTCAGGGTGATAGCAGTATGACGTTTGAGAAATACTGAGATAGTGCGGTGTCCATATTGTCAGAAATCTCTCATAATTTGGTTACAAATTCTTAATCTTTAATGTGATTATTTAATTAATATTGTAGTACTGGGGATTAAACCAAAGGCCTTGCACATGCTAGACAAGCGCTCTACCATTAAGTCACATCCTTAGCCCTTCTCCTAAGTATTTAAAGTAACATAGCGAGCCGGGCACGGTGGCACATGGCTGCAATCCCAGCACTCAGGAGGCTGAGGCAGGAGGATCACTGTAAGTTTGAGGCCAGCCTAGGCTACATAGTGAGTTCAAGGCCAGTCTCAACTATGTTTGGATTCAAAAAACCAAAAAAACTAAAATAAAACTAAAAAAATTATAAAATTCAGATACGGACTGTATTAGGTGCTCTAAGGAATTGGCAGTAAATTTTTCTAGTGTGATAATGGTATTGGGCTCATGTAGGAGAATGTCCTTATTATGGGATGCACACTGAAGGACTTAGATGGCTGAAATGTCCAGATATCTGTTATTTTAATTTCAAATGATTTAGCAAAACCAAGAAGTGGGTGGACAGCAGCTAGGATTAAAACAAAAGTCAGCCATGGAGACTTGGGAGTCTGTTTAAGGCGTCCATTGCGCTATCCTGTTGGATTTTCTGCAGACTTAATATTCTCATAGGAAGAACTTGGGGAGGACAAATGAAATTGCAAAGTGAAAGTGTCCTCAGCAACATCAGCATCTGTGGAACTGGTGCCTGGCAGCGAGTGCAGGGAGCTGAGCCTGAGCTGCAAAGTGTCCCCCGCCAGCAGCTGGGTGTTGCCCACACCTGGGAGACTCCCCCAAGCAGCATCCTAGGATGTGGACCTGTCAGTCCTTCCTTCCCTCGCCCTGTCCACTTCCGGTGCCCAAGCTGGCGGCGCAGTCTCATGACCTCTGAGGTGTTAAAATGAGGTCTCTACGGATGCACCCGAGTCTATCTCCATGTGCAGTGCTGAGATCCTTCAGCAGCCCCAGGGCTTCCAAATACCTATCACAGCCTCCCCATCCCCACCCATCCCCTCTCCTTGCTTGACTTGGCTCTAGCTATGTATTTCTCAAACACACGAAGCTCTAGCTGGTCTCAGGGCCTTTGCACTGCTATTCCCTCAGTCTGGAACACCCTTCCCCAGATGCACCAGGGCTGTCCTTCACATTCAATGCTGAATGGTCCCCTCCTGTCTGAAGTGGTCCACCCATCACAGTCTCAGATCACCCTGTGTAATCTTCAGATACAAATTTTTTTGGGGGGAGGGGGGGTTCCAGGGATTGAACTCAAGACCTTGCACTGGTGATGCAGGTGGCAGCACCACTGAGCTAAATCCCCGGCCCCACCCTGTATAATCTTGGCAAAGCATCCCAAGTTCTCTGGTTTAGTTGTTGACAGTGACTTTCCTGATGGAGACGGCAACTTCCTAAGAGCTGGAATTCTCCTTTGTCATTCTCCACACATCCTCAGTGCTAGGGAGCACAGCACTCAGCCTACAGTAGGTGCGAGTCAGTAGAGACACAAAGGCACATGTAGGAGAGAACTTCCCCCCACCTCCTCCCTCCACCCAGGGGCATGGCCCTCTGCAGGGCTCACTAAGGGGCCAGCTAGATGGAGAAGGGGGGCTGTGGTTAGTGGGCTGTGCCACGCCTGGCAAGAAGGAACAGGCTCTCTTACCCATGTACAGATGGTCTTCATTGGGGTCATCGAGGACCTGTCAGCATCGCCACCCACAGCAGCCAGGAAGGAGCAGAGGAGAGGAGAGAACAGCTGTGAGCAGAGAGGAAGCAGGAGGCTGTGCCTGTTGTGCCTGTTGTGCCCATGGTGCCCACGGTGCCCACAGAGGGGGCTCCTTCTAGTCCTCTTCCGGGTCAAGAAGGAAGGTGGAGGAGAAATCCCCAGATACCCAGTAGGCTCCAGGAAGGGACCGAGGACAGCCACCAGGAGCCAAGCCTGGCTGCCCACCCCTGGCCCCTCTACCTCGTGCAGGGATCCTCACCCTGGTAAAGGTTGGCCCCTTGGCACCTGGTGTTCCCTCCCCTGCAGTTGTCTCCAATCAGGGGACAGTCATGCAAAGCTCATGTCCCCTGAGGACCCCTCTACGAGGCCTCTCCACACTCCCACAGGCTTTGAATGTCCATCACTGAGCTGTCACACACACTGCCTAGAGTCATCGCCTCAACCCTTCTGGGGTCCCCAAGACACTTCCAGGAAGTCCACTAGGTGAATTTATTTTCATTTTATTTAATGTTTTATTTACTTGTTTGGTTTTTGGTTTTTTGGGACAGGGTCTCACTATGTAGTTCAGGCTGGCCTTGAGCTCACTATGTAGCCAGGCTGGGTTCAAACTCACAGTGATCCTCCTGCCTTAGCCTCCCAAATGCTGGGATTATGCCACCATGCCCAGCTTCACAAATAATTTTTATATTCCCAGTGTATATTCTAATATGGTACATATGAATAAACATAACCCACATAGAGAAGAACACTTTTGAGTTCTTCAATAATTTTTATGTACACAAAGGGGTATAAGAACTCCTGACCCAGAGCAGAGGGTGACAAACTGCAGTGGGAGGGCCAAACCCAGCCTTCCATGCATTTTTGTAAATAAAGTTTTATTGGGACACAGCCCTGTCCATTTGTTCACATAACCTGTGAGGCTGCTTTTGCTCCACAACAACCCACAGGTGTGGCAGAAAGACAGCCAGCTTCCTAGAGTCAGAAAGGTGAGGGGCAAGCCTCGGTAGTCCTCGGCCTCAGTGTCCCCACCTGTTCATGGGGACACACCCATGAATTGAGCAGTGAGGCACCTGCCCTGTGGGACCTGGCGGGTCCTGTGAACCAGCGCCAGATGCCTGTGCTAACGGGGCAGAGGCCGGCCGGCACCCCGGGCCACCTCACCTCCACCAGCTTCACCACGTTGGGGTGGTCCAGCTTCTTGAGGATGGCAATTTCCTGGTACACCTGCTCGATGGGGCCCCGGGGCTGGATGCAGCCACCCAGGGCTGGACGGGTACCTCGGGGTGGGGGCCGACCTGGAGGAGACACGAGGGACTGGGAGTCAGGGCAATGAGATGTCTCTGCAGAGGCAACAGCGGGACAACAAAGGGGAAGCACTGGGCAGGGCTGCAGGGTTGACGCCCTAGGGGCCTTGGCCAGCCCTGTCTTCATGTTTCCTCCACTAGCAGAAATCAGTGAGGCTGGAACCCCGGCCCCTCTCAGCCTTCCTGTCATGTGCCCCAGTCCAAGGTGACAAGTAGGAGCACAGCAGCTGGCAGTGGTGGAGCACATTTATCAATGTCAGTAACCCCTGCACTCTTGGGAAGTTGAGGCAGGAGGATTGCAAGTTGAACCCTAGCCTGGGCAACTTAGCAAGACTTTCAAAATAAAAATATAAAAGAGCACTGGGGATATAGCTTTGTGAGAAGGATTCAATCTCCAGTATAAAAACAAAACAAAACTGGTAAATCAATTAATATCAAAATGAAGGTATTACCTGCTCAGCATTCCAACAAGCAGGATAAACCAGAGTTCTAGTATACAGAGGGGGCTTATGTTTTCTCTAAAATAATTTCTCCTTTTGGCTCAAGCCAATACTTTGCCCAACACTGCTTATAGGGAGCTTATGTTGGGGCAGCCTCTGCTGCAGATCTAGCCTCAGCTCCTTTCCATGGCTGAATAATAGTCCAGTGAGTACATATACACGTTAGCTACTCATTCATCTGTTGATGGGCATGTCATGTTGTTTCCACTTTCTGATCATTGTGAATAGAGCTGCTATAAACACTCATGTTCTGGATTTTGTGTGGACATATGTAAGAGTTGATCAAAACATACAATGAATATTTAATTTTTTAAAAATTTATTACAGTAAAGACACATTGCCATAATCCCCCTCAAAATAAGGTACTCTCCCTCACTTTGAGCCCACTTATCCCATCATTCTTCTTACTTTCTGAAGCAGTTCCAGAAATCCTCTTTCATGTCTTTATGAAATGTGATAAAAAATGCAGTGACTGCTGCTGCCAAGTGCCATCCAGCAGAAAGGCAGGCCTGTAAATAAGTCCTCATCCACCCTAATCACCAGATCTGGCACTGTGCAAGTTCTGGCTCTTCCCAAAATCAAAATGATCATGAAAGTAAACGATTTGAATCCAATCAGGACATGGAGATAGCTGTGACAGCCCAACTAAAGACACTCAGGAGAGAGGACTCCAGAGCTGCTGCCGGAGTGGCGAGGACAACGGGATGAGAGTGTTCTCACGGCGGAGCCAGTTCCCTCACTCTTCACTTTTACTTTTTCAAATAAAATTTGTCACCGTTTAAAAAAAAAAAGCAAGGATGAGTATTTTGAGAGGAATTAATGCAATGTATCTTTTACTATGACAATCTTTTTTTTTTTTGGTACCAGGGATTGAACTCGGGTCCTTGAGCTTGTGCAGCAGGTGGCAAAACCACTGACCTAAGTCCCCAGCCCTATGACAATCTTTTTAATGTACACATTTATTGTAGTTTTCCATCATACACTGTATCATCCATTCTCTTGGGTCCATACACAGGAGTGGAATTGCTGGATCACAGTGTAACTCCACATTTAGCTTTTTGAGGAACTACCAAACTGTTTTCCTCTATTAGAACTTTTGACTTGATACCTGTATTACTTTTTTGAGACAGGGTCTTGCTATGTAGTTTAGGCTGGCCTTGAATTCACTATGTAGCTCAGGCTGGCCACAAACTCACAGCAATCTTCCTGTCTCAGCCTCCACAGTGCTGGGATTATAGGTGTGCACCAACCGCCAGGCAATAAGTATTCTTTAAAGAAACTGAATACATAATCTTAGCAGGAGACCCAGCTGGTAACCGGGGGATGCCGCTGGCAGCTCCGGCCCCAGCTCCAGCCGGCACTCACGTGGGAAGCCAGCCTGCCGGATCAGCTTCTTCTTGGACAGCACCTTCATGGCCTGCAGAAGACAAGACCTGCATCAGATTAAAGTGGGCTGGGGGAGGGTGTGAGAGTGTCCCCAGCCCAAGGCTGCCGGGGACTGGGCACCCTGAGCCTGAGGACAGCACAGGGAGCCCCTGTCACCAGAGGTGGAAGAGTCACCCCTCAGGACGCTTCCAGATCAGCAACCCCAGCAGAGATATCCAGAGCCTTTGGCGAGTGGGCTGGACTGACAGGCGGAGGTGGGGATGACAGGCTGCATCTCATGTGGGGAAACTGAGGCCCAGCTGGTGCATACATGGTTACACATCACTTGCCCAAAGCCATACCCCAGGCACATGGAAGAGCGAGGTTTGAACCCGCACCTGGAGGACTGCAGCTGCTCTGCAATCCACACATGGGCGCAGCACTGGGGCTTGGGGAGGGCGAGGGTGACAGATGCTGAGTGACCTTGCTCCTGCTCACCTCCCCACCTGGAAATGGGCTCACTGCTTCCTTCCTGGTGTCCTCAGAGCAAACTAAGGCAACAGGAGTTGAGTGTGGGAAGGGAGTTCCTCGGTGAGGACGGGACAGGCGGGGTGCAGGACACTCACGTAGTAGGTGTTGTCGTTCTCGTTGTAGGCCAGCTTGACCACCCCGTAGGAGCCCTGCAGGGAGGGAGACGCACCTGACACACGAGCCCCAAGTGAGGATCTGCCAAGCGGGGACCCCACCACAGAACCTTGAGTGCAGCCCCTAACTCTATCTGCTCCAGGGGTTTTTACACAGCTCAAATTACTTGCCAATATTTAAAGAGAAAGATCTGATATAAAAATTCATATTTCTAGCTTCTTTTTGAAAAAAAATCAGAAGAGGGGCAGGGATTTAGGTCAGTGGTGACCCGCCTGCCTCACAAGCTCAAGGTCCCAAGTTCGATCCCCAGTACCAAAAAAAAAAAAAAAAATCAGAAGATCTAGTCATGGAGAGACCTTATTTCCCAATACACACAGTTCACAGAGACCTGGCTCCCCCTGCCTCACACCTCCTCTGCCTCATCTTCCTAACTCGCCTTCCGCCCCAGCTCACCACTTAGATTGCTAACTCGCTTCCTATCTTGGGCCTCAAACTCACAGTAACCCTCCTGCCTCAGCCTCCCAAGTGCTGGGATTACAGGCCTCCGCCACCACACCCAGCCTCCTTCCTATCAGCATTTGAGTTTTTGACTTCTGCAATAGTACTGCCCATGGCTGAAAGGAAAGAAACAGATGTGAGAGTAGCTTAGAGGGGAAAAACCCACTGAAATGATGGGGACTATCCCTGGCAATATGGGATTTCTCTGGAAGATTTCTTAGCTTTTACAGAAACACATTTAAAGATAAAAAAAAAAAAAATTCAAAGATACAAAAAAAACCCCAACAGAAAACACTGGACCATTAATAACAAAACCTAAACCGAGTATGGTAGTGAAGGCCGGTAATCCCAGCACTTGGGAGACTGAGGCAGGAAGATTGTTGTGAGTTTGTGGCCAGCCTGAGCTACATAGTGAGTTCAAGGCCAGCCTGAGCTACATAGCAAGACCCTGTTGAGAGACAGAGAGAGAGAGTGAGAGAGACCTGCACAAAACCTGGCCCCCCCAGTCCTTTCCAGCTCCACTCTCCACCTAGGCCCGGCCGCAGTGCTCACCTTTCCAATCTCATCCTTCAGCGTGTACTGATTGAGCTGCACACAGTCCTGGGAAGAAAGCAGATTGCAGACGTGAATTCTAAGGTCAGCTGGGATCTGTGTGTTTAGAAACTAAATACACACAGGTTTCCAGGATCCCCGTCCGGGAGGAGAACCCTCCCGCCCCCTGAAACACTTCCCAACCAGTGCCCCCTCCGGGGTGACCAGCTGCTACCAGGCAGCCCTTGCTTCTGATTGGACTTTTTCACAGTTAACTGCACAGGGCTGGGCTGTGGTGGGGTGGTGGGCCACGCACTTGGTGAGCACAAGGCCCTGGCTTTGAGCTCCAGTGCCAAAGGGGGGGAAAAAATCATGTAATATGTACTCTTTGAATAACCATTCTAAAATGTTTTCCCACTATCCAAAAGTAAAATTTAGTTGGGCATGGTGGCACATGCCTATAATCCCAGCACCCTGGGAGGCTGAGGCAGGAAGATCTCAAATTCAAGCCCAGCCTGGGCAATTTATCAACTTAGTGAGACCTTGTCTCAAAATAAATAAATAACATAACACAAAATAAAATAAGGACTGGGGATAGCTCTGTTAGTGTAAAGGCCCTGTGTTCAATCCCCATGTCTGAAGGGGGGAAAAGACTACACTGTCCTGTAAAAGTGTAAGGTGATACAAGAATCTGTACAAGTTTGGGGTAGAAAAAGTTTCCTTAGATAATACACAAAAAGAACAAACCCTAAAAGGAAACAAATGATACACTGGTTTCTACCAAAGTTCAAACTTTTGCTCCTCAAACTACCATTCAAAACCATGAGGGCTGGGGATGCAGCTCAGTGTGGAGTGCTCGTCTTGCAGCGCCAGGCCACAGGTGCCACCCTCAGCACCACAGAGAGGAAAGGAGAAATGAAGAGAAAACGGAAGGGAAGGAAAGAGGGAAGAAAGGCCACGAAGGAAAGGGAAGAAAAGAAAGGAAAGAAAAGCCAAACGGAGAGCCCTTACAGGTCCGTAATAGGAAATCCAACAACCCAGTTAAATACTGGGTGGAAGATCTGAACAGAAATTTCTTCAGAAGAGACAAGTGGTCAGTGAGCACATGCTACGGTCTCGTCAGCAGGGAACTGGACATTCAAGTCCCCCCGCTCAAAGCTGAAGACTGCAAAAGCGCCCCACACCCTGGGGCTGGCCCAGTGGCAAGCACGTCCCCCACTGGATAACAGTGCCAACTCCTGACTGCCCCTCCCCTACGACTCAGCCATTCTGCTCCTGGGAATTGATCCAGGAGAAGTGAGCACATGTTTACAGAGACCTCTGCACAAATATTCACGACAGTCCCGTGTGTAACAGGAAAAAACAGCCAGGCCTGATGCTGCACACCTGTGATCCCAGCACTTGGGAGGCTGAGGCAGGAGGATTGTTGCAAGTTCCAGGCCAGCCTGGGCTACATAATGAACTCAAGGCCAGCCTGAACTGCACAACAAGACCCAGTCTCAAAAAAAGAAAAGAAAAAAAAAGAGATAAGAAAAAATTAGAGACGACCAACACGTCCATCAACAGGAGATGTGTATACAGAACGCGATGCATTTCCCCCTGGGAGTCTACTCGGCATCGAGATCCTCGGCTATCCCATGTCAGTCTGTGTCCACAGGGATGGGCTCCAGTCCCTTCTCTAAAATACCATATCGTCTGTATACAACTTCTGCACAGCCTCCCTTATCCTTTAAATCATCTCCTCGGTGCTTAGGCATTTAATACAGTGCAGATGCTATGTAAGTAGCGGCCACACTGTATTATTCAGGGAATAATGAAGGGAAAATAAAAGTCTACAAAGATGCAATTTTGTCTTTCTGGATATTTTCAACCCAAGGCTAGCTGAATCCACAAACACAACATGGATAAATACAGAATCAGGATGCCATGAAAAAAACTACACTAAAAAAGTAGTGGATACTAAGTGACCCCACTTAGGAAGATTCCAGACCTTACAAACTAATCTATCATGATTAAAAAAAAAAAGGTGGGGCCAGGGATTTAGCTCAGTGGTTCGCCTGCCTCACAAGCGCAAGGTCCAGAGTTCGATCCCCGGTACCAAAAAAAAGCTGGCTTGGTGGCACATGCCTATAATCCCAGTACTCCGGAGGATGAGGCAGGAGGATTGCTGTGATTGGAGGCCAGCCTGGGCTCCTTAGTGAGTTCAAGGCCAGTCTGAATTATAGAGACCCTATCTCAAAAACAAAACAAAACAAAAGCCCAGCAGCGCTGGAAAGAGGAAGACAGAGGAGGCAGGGACTGCTGGGCATATTGGAAATGTCTCTGTTATCTTGGCTGTGAAGCTATCGCAGAGGCAGTCAGATAACACAACAAATGTTCCCACCTTTGAAATATGCAGGTTTTTGAAAACTTCACCTGCACTCCCATAGTTAAAGGGAAAGTGTTCAGTGATATAAGAGGACAAACTGGGAAAAGGACACGACAGAAAACCAATCTTTGGTGACCCCCTCTGCCCTGGCACAGGCCCTCAGCAACAGTGGGTGCCCCAGCAGGGCACATGCTGCTCCCAGGGCAGGGCTTGGGCATAAATGGTGCCACGCAAAACCATTTCACAACTTCCTCTCCTCCTCAGCAATGTCCCCAGAGAGGGCCCTTCGTCAGATCGGACACCACGCAGGCAGAGGGGCCTGGGCAGCTGCCTCTGACCCTACCCCACACAGTCGGAAGCTGCCGACTTCAGCTTTCGAGGGTCCACTTTAACCCCCACTGCTTCCCACAGCCTGGCCTCCAAGGCCTGACCTCGCCAGTCACCTCATCACCACCAAACGCCAGTCTCCCCTTCTTCCTCCCACACGGAACTCCAGGCACCAAAGTCCCATATGGCCAACTTCATCTCCAGCCTCACCGCTCAGGGTGACTGTGGCCGTGTTCTGGCAGTGGGAGGCAGGCTGAAGTTGTTGGACTGAGCTTCCAGGAAAGAAGACTAACTTAGAAAGCCTTTTGTTCTCCTCTGCTCCCTCTTCCTGCCTGGAATGGAGCTCTGAAGGCCAGACCTCCAGCAGCCACAATATCACACAACTATCAATCCAGTCCCAGAATGTCTAGCTCAGATATAATTTGCATGATTAATACATCTTACTGGGACAGGATGTAGCTCAGTGGTACAGCGCCTGCCTGGCAAGAGTGAGGTCCTGAGTTCAATCCCTGGTGCCAAAAATAAAATGAAATAAAATAAAATAAAATATCAGCTATTCCTCAGAGAAAGGACTAATACCTAGAATGTATAAAGAACTCAAGAGCCGGGGACTTAGCTCAGTGGTTCCACCACCTGCCCCGCAAGCAGAAGGACCAGAGTTCGAGCCCTGGTACCAAAAAAAAAAAAAGAACTCAAAAAACCAGATCCCCCTCAAATTTAATGACCTAATCCAAAAACGGGCATCTGAAATGAATAGACACTTCTCAGACGAAGAAATAAATCCCATGGTGCTAGAGCCACTGTCGGGGTTGGGGGCTGTTTCTCTCAGCTGACTCAATTCTGTTATAAACCTGAACCACCCTCTAGCCCCATCACCACCAGGCCTCATTATGGCCCCACTCCAGCTAGCTGAACTCCTGTCCCTCTTTCCCTACCCTCCTGCCTCTGCCACAGGGCCTTTGCTTATGCTGTGCACCCCTTTGCACTGAGCTCTCGGCCTTCAGAATGCAGCCCCTTAGGCACACAGCCTCTTCAGGTCGGCCTGACATCGAGTCTTCTCCAATCTGACTCCTTCATTCCCTCTTCCAAGCTCTCACTACAGGCAGGCCCTGTGTGGGTGCTGGGGCCACAAGGATGAGGCAGGTGGCGGGGCTCGTGTTCTGCTGGGGGAAGAGGAGAGAGCAAAGGGGAGGGGGTCCTGTTTCTGGGAGGCAGCCATGGGAGGCCCTCAGGGGCAAGGAGCCGCCTTGCAAGACTGGGAACAGGGTTCCCGGGCAGGAGGCGAAGGCAAAGAGACAGGATCGAGCTTGGAGGTGGAGTGAGGGCCCTCACCTCGGGCAGCGACTGCTCTGTGGCCGCCTGGGTGCTCAGCCCCGCACCCCGGGCTGCACCCCGGGCTGCACCCCTCTTGTCACCCTGGTGACCGACCCGCTCCGCCAGCCCGCTGAGCCCAGCAGCACACCAGCAGCCTCTCCTGGGGTCACCTACAGCCCCATAGCTGCACAGATCCTTCTCGGGGTCCCGAGCCCACGCAGAGACCCGGGGCCCACGCACCTGCAGGCCCGTGATGGACACGTGGTGCGACTCCACCGTGGGCCGCCGGGGCAGCCGCGGCGACAACTGCGGGGACCCGACAGGCGAGGAGGGCGGGCACGGGTCCGCGCAGCTTCCGTTCGCGGCCAGGCTGCTGCCAGAGGCCGGCGCCCCGGGGGAACGCTCCTGCAGGGACAGTTTGCGCCCCAAGAGGTGGCACCGGGGGCCATCCGGGGGGCTCTCTTGGCCATCAGCCTCCAGGGGCTGGGCCCGGGCCAGGCCGAGGCCCCCAGCGCGGCTCGGCTCACACTCGGTGACCACAAGGAAGGACTCCATGCCCAGGCGCAGGCTCAGGGACGAGAGGCCCTGCAGGGCCTCACAGGGCTTCGGGCCTTCGCTGCTGCCATCCTGGGGGGCGGCCCTGTCGCTGCTGGTCTGGCTAGAGACGCATGATGACATTGTGCGTGGGAGGCGTCATCCACCACGCTGGGGCTCTCCCATCCGGCAGCGGGGCCACCTGCAGAGAGAAAGCCCGTCACAGGGGCCAGGACAGTGGCGGGGAGGCCCCGCCATCTGCCCCTACATGGGTCTAATTCCCACCTCGGGAATTCTAGCACTCAGGAGGCTGAGGCAGGAGGATTGCAAGTTCAAGCCTAACATAGGCAACTTAGTGAGAACCCGCCTCAAATTTTAAAATAATCAAACCAGCCAGAGACGTAACTTATTAGTAGAGTGCTTGCCTAGCATGGGTGAGGCACTGGTTTCAATCTCCAGCACGGCCAAAAAAGGATTAATTTTACAATACCTGAACGTTTTCTCAATTTTGTAAAGAAACAGAAGTTGTCACACCCCCTCGGGCTGTCAACCTCTCCCTCTCCAGACAGAACATCAACCTTCGGTTCATGTCTGACAAAGCCTTCTGGACAAATGTCACAGGACCTGCTGGATCTCAAGGAGTCCATCCCTGGTTCCCAGACCAGGTGGCAGCTCTGCACCCCGGTCACACGTGCATGAGGGGTCTCTGGGAGCCAGGAAGACAGTGGGCGCTCAGGAGAGATTCTGCGGCCGAATGAGGTGACACCTCTTGGTGCCACTGTGATGGACGGGCACCGAGGGAGGTAGGGGGTAGAGAGCCTGGGCTCCCTGGGGAATCCAGCTGAGAGAAAAGGATGTCACCTCGCCATCTCAGAACAGTTCCCCCGCCAGAATTCATTCACTTATTTATTTATTTAGGGTCTCACTAAGTAGCCCAGGCTGGCCTCAAACTCAAGGTGATCCTCCTGCCTCAGCATCCCGAGAGCTGGGATCACAGGTTCCCACCACAACGCCCAGCATTCCACCAGGATTTATGGAACATCTACTGTCAGGAAGTATGGCAGAAGCCCAGTGGGAAAAGCATCAAGGAAATACCACATCCCAGCCCTGCCCTAGGCCCAATGTGGAAACATGGTCCCTGGTAAAGGAGATACCAAGCCCAAGCCAACCATGCAACACGATCCTCAGCCTTGTGAGTAGTAAGCAAAGTGCAGATTTAATCTACAGTACAACAGTTGGGCATTCCTTCAAAAAGTTAAATGTCCTTTTGTTTTTTGAGATAGGGTCTCACTATGTAGCCCAGGCTGGCCTTGAACTCATGGTGATCCTCCCGCCTCAATCTCCTGAGTGCTAGAATGACAGGTGTGTACTATCCAAAAAGTTAAATGTAGAATTAATCTAGGGCCAGCAATTCCTCTCCTAGGAATACACACACAAAAAAATAGAAAGCAGGAATCCAACAGTTCCTTGGAAACCCATGTTCATAGCAGTTCTACTCACAATCACAGAAAGGTGCAAACAGCCCGACTGCCCATGAGCGGAGGGGAGGAAAAACAATGTGGCAGAGCACACAGGGGCCATGGAAAGGGGGGAATTCTCCTCACACCACAGCGTGGAAGGGCCACAGAGACATCACTCAAGTGACACAAGCCAGACACCAGGTGAAGGCTACTGTCAGATGTCACATGCACGCAGTACCTACAACAGTCCATTCACAGAGTAAGGAGGGAGAGGAGAGGCACCCCGGTTTACAGGGAGAGGAAGAAGAGCTCTGTTTATAGGGCACAGATTTCCTCATGAGCTGTGAAAATATCTGAAGATGGGCAGTGAGGTGACTGCCATGCACGGGGTACACTTAAGGGGATTAACTATGCACCAAAAACGCTAAGCTGGTAAATATCATGCTATGTACAGTTACCAAAATGAAGAATGAAACTGAAGATGGGCGTGGTGGTGCATATCTGTAATCTCAGCACTGTGGGAGGCTGAGGCAGAAAGATTCTAAGTTTGAGGCCAGCCTGGGCAATTTAGTAAGTCGGTCTCAAAATAAAATGTTAAAAGAGGGCTGGGGGTGCAGCTCATGCAAAAGCCCCTGTTCAATCCCTAGTACTGTACTGGAACAAAGAATTCTCAAAGGCTCAAGTGCTCAAAAGCCATTCCGTCCATCAGGACCTGGGGAGTGCCCACTGCAGCTGGGCCAGGTTCCAGAGTGTCCCATGGGGGACTAGTCTCCAAGCACTTCCCTGCTCCTGTGTCCCACACCCTTGGCCATGTGCTCCAGCCCCCCAGGACAGGGAGGCTGCCCCCCACCAGGGATGCAAGCATTCCTGAAAAGAAAATTCAGCCTGGCAGCACCAGGAAAGTCAATGGGGAATTTTCTTCTTGCCAACAGAAAAACAAGTGCTTCTTGATCTCCCGCAGGCCAAGGGCACCACGCCATCCACATAGCAAGGCTGCTTTTAATCAGTCTCCCTGGCCAGCTGCAGTCCAGTGGCCTCTGGCATCAGCCTTGGCCTTCGAGGTCGAGAAGGGGAGGAAGAGGGGAGAATGAGGAGCCCCTGGGAGCCAGAAGATGCTGGGGTCCCTGGCACTGATGGAGGAGGTGGTCTGGATAGAGGGCATCTTCTCCCCAAGTGTCCTGAATGGCTCTCGCAATCTGATGTGGCTGGATATGGCAGCGTACACCTATAATCCCAGCACTCTGGGAAGCTGAGGCAGGAGGATCGCAAGTTTGAGGCCAGCCCGGGAAACTTACAATTTAGCGAAAATAAATCTCAAAGTAAAATGTTTTTTAAAAGAGCTGAGGACGCAGCTTAGTATGAAGGCCCTAGGTTTAATCCCCATTGTCCCTCCCAAAAAAGGAGAAAGCTACCAAGATTCTCCCCAGCAGAAAAAAAATCATACAAAAAGATAAGAGTTAGTGTAAGCCAGCAACTCTAACATTGCTGTGTTCTCTGCCAGGCAACCCACAGGACAGGCCCCTGCAGCAAGGTTATGGCAGGCCAAGCGTCTGATTTCAGGGGCCCAGGGACAGGGCCCAGGTACCCTGACTATTCTGCCTCCAGCCTGGGCCTGACAGTGACGGGAGGCCCTGCCCTGAGCTGCTACCCTGGCCTAGGCCACAGAAACACAGGGGGCCACCCCTGTGCCTGGAGGACCCAATAGGAGACACCAGAGCCTTCCAGCAGCAGATGGCCCGGCTGGGCAGCATTTGGCTCCTTCCTCTGCCAGGAAGCCGTGGCCCAGGCCTGCAGGAAACGCTTCCCATTTCCTGGGGCTGCACCCACCGCCTGCCACCAGCTTCTGGCCAGAGTGGCTGGGAGGGGCTGCCCCCAATCCCGGGGCTCAGCACTTCAAGCCCCCCTCATGTTCGGCTCCACAGGACAGCAGAGGGGCCCTAATACCCCCGAGGATCTGCCAAGCCAGGGACAAGTCTTTGGGATCATGGCCAAAGCCAGTCACATCCTCTCTCGCCTGGGGAAAGAGGCCTCAGGAGGCTAGAAGGAAATTCATTCTTCATTTGTTCCTGAAATGAGTGGTTACTGAAGACCTACTATGTGCCAAGGAAACAAAACAGAAAGGAAGCCTCAGTGAGGCCAGAGCACAAGCCCGGGATCTCTTGGCGGCTGTTTACGGGGACAGCAGAGGGGACAGACAACTGCAGATGGGGAAAGGTGCTCAGGAAGTCACTCCTGGAGCCCTAATCCTCAATCCCCCACGGATGGCCTTACATGCCAGGTGTGGTAGCACACCCCCATAATCCCAACACAGGAGGCTGAGGCAGGAGGATCACCACAAGGTCAAGGCCAACTGGGGGTATATCATGAGACCCTATCTCAAAAAACCAACAAACAAAACAGGAATATAGCCTTACTTGGTGAGAGGTCTGCATTGAGGTATTTTAAATTAAAATGAGACCATGAGGGTAAGCCATAACCCAACAGGTCTGGCATCCTTATCGGGAAGCAGGGGAGAAAGGAAGGAAAGGATAAAGAAAAAAAAGTGAAAAAGCAAGGAATAAATGGAAACAAAGCTTTTACACATAGGGAGGGGAGGGGTGTTGGGGAAGGGGAAATGGGATAAAATAAAATTAATTTTAAAAAAAGAAAGGGGACCTCAGACAAAGACGGCTGTGGCCATGGAGGCAGAGGCGGGTGATGCTTCCACGAGACAAGCACCACCCACGGTGGCCGGTGTCAGCAACCTCGGGGAGAGGCCTGCACCTACTCTGTCCTGCCCAAGTCTGGGCCCCAGACTTCTGGCCTCCGGAACCGAGAGACGCACAGCTCTGCTATTTAGGCCCCCGAGGCAGTGGCGTCGGCGTGGCCCCAGGACAAGGGTGCAGGGCCCCGCCCAGGGGAGCAGCTTCTCACAGCCCAACCCTTGCGGGCTGCTCCGGAACGCATGCTGGCCTAGGCCCTGAAACTGACGGGTCCCCAGAGACAACAGCCGCGCCCTGTCAGACAGCAGGAGAGCTCGGGCTGTTAGGGCCCCCAGACCACATCCCCGTCAGTCCCTAGAGCAAAGAAGGGGCAAGCAGTGACTTCTGGGTGCCATCTGGCTGCTGTCCTGTTTTGCTTGGCACACACCACGTTCAGAACTATGTAAATGAGATGCCAGTGCTTCGAGAGCAGAGAGTGCACATAAAAATCAGAATGTTAGGGCCAGGGATGTAGCTCAGTGGCACTGCACTTGCCTGGCAAGTGCAAGGTCCTGAGTTCGATCCCTGGTACCAAAAAAAAAAAAAAATCAGAATGTCCAGCCTCGGGCTGGGCGTGGAGCTCAGGGACAGAGCACTCACTGGCCTGTGTCAAACCCTAGCCTTGATCCCTACCATTGGAGGTGTGGCAGGGAGTAAGCAGCATTAGAAAATTTTCCAGAATCTTTCTTTTCCAGAATCTGTTTGTCTGTTGAGACAGGGTCCCCTTATGGAGCTCACACTGGCCTTGAACTCACTCTGTAGCCCAGGCTGACCTCAAACTCATGGGATTCTCCTGCCTCGGCCTCCCAAGTGCTAGGATTACAGGCATGTGCCACCACGCCCAGCATCCAGAATCCTTGAAAAACTCAGATGCCTGTCAGCTCTGGGCAGGGACACAGGAGGAAGGCGCAGTCTTCCCTCCTCCCCACGCCTTGAGGTGCTGAGCTCAGCTGAGGGCCATGTTCCAGGCCATCTCACGGCCCAGCTCACCTGCAGGGACT